CTTTTGTCTGGTTGTGACCCATGAAATGTTGTCTGACAGGGAGTGCTCAAGGTGGCCTTTGCAGCATTTTTTGATGTTTAACCTAACACTGTTAGCTTAAATGTCATTTTTGCACTACCTTATTATAGGAAATTAACGCTCCATGAAATTAAGGTATTGGAAATTAACGTGAATTTAATGGGAAACGACTTTCGAATAAAGAAAATTAACGCGAAGGAGGAGGTAGAATTTCATAATAAAGGAAATTAACGCAATTAATTACGCGAAATCAAAGGAGAAGATATTGACATCACTTCTGACAGCAACAACGATGAACATGAACTCGAAATATTGTAGACCTTCGCCTTAGCTTTTGTGTATTATGAAAAATAAAGGGTAAATGGAAAGAAAGAAAGCTTGTAGTTAATGTTTTTAGGTGCCAAGAATGTTTGGACAGGTTCCAAAATTGGGGTTAAAATACTGGAAAGTAAGAGTGCAGAAATGAACGCTGCACTTAATTAACATCGCGGAAATTAACGCTCAACAAAATTAACGCGACTTAAATTAATGCAAATTTTAACGATTCGCGTTAATTTCGTGGAGCGTTAATTTCCTATAATAAGGTACATTACAAGTTCTTTTGATTTTTGAATCCTTAATTTTACTCTTAGGAAACAACTAGTAAAGATTGTTTGAAATACTGTGATGTGAATGTAAGTATTGTAAAGAGTATTGTTACTTAACTTGTATCTTTTTTATTGTAAGTGAAAGATGTTTTAGAAGGGTAGTAAGGGATGTTTAGTGTCTCTAAGGGGTAGCTATCAGCTAATTTCACCTGCTGGAAATGATCTAACATCACCTTAAATTGCACTGGAAAACAATGCCAAGGTGTAACAGCCGTCATTCAGTAATATTCAGTATCAATTCCATGTTTTATTTGATCTGATCAACTACGCTTAACACACTGTTTGAATACAATACTGTATAAGAAATCCTTACAAAAAAGAAAGTATCCGTGTCGGTAACCTTGAGAATTGCTGCAATATCTGTAATGATTCCATAATGTTCGATTCCTTCGGTGTGAGTCTAGTTAAACAATCCTTATCCAAAAAAGGGTGAAAATAACAAAGTGATAAAGGCACATGTGTGTTGAGGTTTGACCCAGTCTTGAATGTCAAAACCTTGCATGGACTGTGACCTAGTGCACAGGAAACATAACATTTACACAAGGGGTAATTTTAATAAAGTCTCAATTCAGCAAAAGGCTGCCAGATGATTAGTCTACTAGTCTGGTTATAATCTTTTCTTTGCCTACATTTCTTGCCATTTTAGTTTCTTATTCAGGGTAATTCAAGATGATGGTTTTTGCTGACTCAGGGTTCGCAAATAGGCCAAATTTGGCGTATTTTACGCCAAAATTGTTCAGATGACTCCACAGAGGTTACGGAGGGAGTCACTTTGACTTCAGAAATTTTCGGTAACAAACAGGGAGCCACTTCGACTCCAGGAATTTTCGGTAACAAACACAGTTTTGTCCCTACCTTTTTCGCAACAAATGCAATTTACGTTAATTGTAAACGTTGTAAACCTTAATTAAGTCATCAAAATTAAAGAATGATACTGCACGACAAAACAGGAAGAGGGTAAATTACGATCAAAGTTTACTCGATGACCGCCATCATGGATTTGAGCTTTCTAGGTCAGTGAACCCCCACAGCTACACCGTTTATCCATCACGATAGTTATTTATGCCAGGACCACGTGCTATAAAGTGTGAAAATGGCTTTTTTCGTTGTGATACTTGACTCCAAATTTTCCAAAATGACTCCAAAATTTGTGAAGTGGAAGTCACAGTGACTCCACTTATCAATAAAATTTGCAATCCCTGTGACTCATGCACCTTTAAAGGTTTGCCCTTTGAAGCACGTAGAATTATAGACTGCTTGCAGTCTGCCTTTGTCTTAGAATTTGTCCAGTTCTTATGTTTCTTATCCCAGCCAATGCGATTGCATACAATGGCGTCACATCAAGGGATTGGGACATGTCTTATCACCTTATGTGGAATAATTGCAAAAAAAATCAGGTTTTTCCTCTTGAATAGTAACTTTACTTGCTTTTTAAGTAGCAGATGTCATCATTGTATTTTTGCATTGCAGGATGGTGAAGTGCCAGAATCTCTTCTGATTAATGTGGCTTATTTCTGTGATAATGGTGGCTTATCAGCGATCAGGGAAGCCTTTCAAGAGGCTGATCCTGCCTCTTTGCCTTTTTCCATTGCTCATCATCTTATAAACATAGTTACTCAGGTAATTATGTCAAATCTTCACACTATAAGACATGAGCTATTCATGTCCTCAATTATTATTTATTGTCGTAAATTATTCAGTGGATTAACCGCTGGCCAGTTTTCTCAGTTCAAGACTGCCGGTCTGCTAAGTGGAAGGTTGTGAGTTCAAACCCTGACCAGACATCCCTTAGTGGCGGGCGTGGCTTCTATTCCAGTGCCCTAAGTATACAGTTGAACCTCTCGACAATGGCCACCATGGGGACAGAAGAAAATGGCCATTGTAGAGAGGTGGCCGGTGTAGAGAGGTTGAAACAAGAGTGAATGTATGGACAGTCTGCTAGAAAAAATTACGGTTGTAGTGAGGGGGCCGTTAGTGGGGGTTCGACTGCATTTGTGTATAGCCTGTAATAGTAGGTAATTTATCTTTTTGTGAGGTAGGCACAGTGTAAAATTTAAGGGAATCGGATAAAATTGGTACCTGATTGATCCGCATCTGTGTGACCCGATGCCGATATTTGGACGAAGTTCCCTTTCTTTAATATGAATATTATTTATATGTTTTTGTTAGCTTCGTCTTTGGTTTAGCATCCAAGCTATCATGCAGTACATCATTCCACTTCGGAGGCCTGTTATCAGGTGAATATCAGTTAATCATGTCATGGCGGCTATATAAATCTTAGTAAGGCTGTAATTTTAAAAACAGTCACCAAATGCTGCTTAACACTAAAAAGGAAGAAAATAATATGACTTGTTTGTAGATATGTGAGGTTGGTATCCAAATTCCCATAATGAAAAGATTTACCCAAATTTACTTCAAACAATAAACTTGTAACCATCCCAAAGAGCTCCACTTGGAATCAAACCAGCAAACAGTTGAAAACTAGTAATCTGTCAGCAGATAACTTTAAAAAAGTGTAATCTTAATGGGTTGATACCTGAGCCCACAATATGGTCATGTGATTATTGTCAGCAGGTATCCTGTTTTGACAGCTGTTAATTAACCACAACATGGATATGCAATATCAGGTTGTAGGCTCCCACACTACAACTTTTCTATAGCTAGAAAGTGTGAGATTTTACATTGGTTGTCCTGTGGTGAAGACAAACGAGTGGACGGACAGGCAGCCGGGTGGATGTATGCTCATCTCACTACCAACAATTTCTTAGATGGGTAGATAACCAAATTTCCTTAGCTATGTGGCTCTGCTCACTTTACTTTTCACTCCGCTTACTTTTATCAGTTCCGCTCTAAAAGCGAGTTTTAGAATAGTATTGAATTGCTCTAAATAACTCGTCAGTATATGAAGTCCCTGTGGATCACAAACGTACAAGTAAATTCATAAAATTGAGCTTTCAAAATAGGCCATTACCTTCAAATTTTTGTCATCGTTTGTGACAGATATCTGTGCAAGCTTACTGATAAAGATCTACGGCAACCTGATGGGCGCATTATGGTAGACTCCATGTGGAGTGCTGTAAAAGGACCTGTAGAATCTGGACCCATCTGTGACAAGTATGTGGTGTAGCTCCTAAATACCTCTAACTGTAAACCATGCTGTACATGTAAATATGGACCGACTTTTTTCTGCTCTCGGATGTAGGTCATAAATGTGGGTAGAAAACGTGAGGGTCTGTTTCTTACAATACAGATTGAGAAAATGAGGAACTTGTGGTATTAAGATATTAGTTACATCTCTAGCTTCCAATAGAGACTGAGATGGTAAAGAAATATGGCCAAGTACAAGGTGCATACTAAGAGTTATACATGTAGTAATAAAGTTGGCACCAGCAGGAATACAAGTTTTTGCTTTCATGCATGTACTTTATCAGGTCTTTCTTGGAGCCTCACAGTTACTTTGGCTTCAAATGAGCAGTGCAAACATATACTGTTGCAAACATGCAGTACATCACTAAAGCATTATTGGTACATGCAGCAAGTTGATACTGTGTTTCCTATAGCTTAGATGTGGAGAATTGTTTTGATATGACAACATTAACTTTAGTGACCCATTTCCTCTATTCAAATTCTGTCACATGTACTTTTATGTACTTTTGAGGAGAACAAAATTGCTGGTTACTGTTGGGCAAGTTAAGTTCTCAGTAGATTTGTTTGTCGATTGTTTTTTTAACTGATTCTGTCTTTAGGGATAGCCTTGATTTGGCATTTAAATACTTCACCTCTTCTACCCTGACTGTACGACTGGCTGGTCTGAGCCAAATAGCTGTAAGTCATCAAGCTGTTTTAATAATCTGCCTTAGTGTAATTATGCTATGTTTATAACTACACTGTAAATTGTCTGAATTAAAAGTAGAAATGTACAGCAAAAATAAACCAATCCCAATGCTTGGTCGCATGTGTTGTGAATGGTTTTCCTCCTCTACTTTCAACTCCATCAATCTAGTTTTTTCACCAGATAGCTACAATTGGCGACAAAATGAGTTGAGACACTTGGCCCTAAAGGGGCTTTTTGGCATTTTCTTGACGTCAAAAGAGGAAAATATAGCTTTTCCTCCCCTATCCCCTCCATTGAATGTTGTGCCACTGTTCGAGCTACGTTTAGAAAACAACAAACACCCGAACTTTGAATGGAGGGTACAGGGGCGGGGTGTAGATTGTTATGTTCTCTGAAGTTACCCTATTTGTGTACAGTGTCTCAACAATTTTGTCGATGATTGTAGCTACAAAGCCAACAGTAAACAAAGCTTGGCCACTTCTTTCACCACATGATAATGCTCTGCTTCTGATTTCCACTGTGGCTCTAACTCTGACGCTAGTGAAAGGAAACTTAGCTTTCAGTGGTCCCCCTGCATTTTATTCTTTCAGAATCAGGTTCACATGTTCATGGATCTCTTCCAAACAGACCCAGCAGCTGAAGTTGATAGACAATGGTATAGTTGTTTCCTTTTTTGTTAAGTTACTTTCACCCAGTAGCTTTAGGATTATTGTTTTAAGGACCTTAATCCGTCAAAAATCATGCATTTATAGTTTCTGTTAAATTAGATAATTATTAATTAATATCTTTGGCCCTCAAACCATTATTTTACTTGATTGCTTCTAATGTCTGAGAATTGATATTGCTTTTGCATTATTTTTTCCCCATTACACCTGAACTAGGAGTATTCCCGCTTGCCAGTGTTTTATAATCATTGTTGTTTCGTTTTGATTAAAAAAGTTGTAGAAAATTGAACATGAAGGAGTGTTATATCACACACCCAGAAACATGGGTTGAAAAATAAGTACATACATTTATGTAAAAAGCTCCCAGACATCACAAGTCTGGCTTCTTGCATGTTACTGGATATTGTTGAAACACTTTTTTTGTGTGTTAAAGATAGCTTCTCAAAAGGATTCATAATCCTTGAAGAAAGTTGAGGCAAAAGTTAACAAAATCTTGTGTCTTCATGTATTAAGACTACACACCCAAGTGTCCTTCATGGAATTTATTTGTTTTTTTTCGTTTCTGGTTAAAACATATGAGTTTGAGAAGCTGCAAACATTATCTTGATGAGAATAATATTTGAACAGTCAATAATAACATAATATGTTATTTTTTCAGCTTGTGCACTGAACTCTCCCAGTGGTTAATTGAGAACAAACTTGTTGAACATTTGTTTGGTCCTAATCTACATGTTGAGGTGATATGATAATATTCTTCCATCATTTACATTATAAAATTTGCTTGATACAAAGAATCATCCAGCTAACCTTGTTATTTTGTTTACACATATTTTGCTGTTGTTTTGCAGCTTATTAAACAATCTCAAATCATATTGAACTATCTGGCACGCGAAACTTGTCTCACTACCTCCCACCTTGACTGTATGTGGCTTGCTGCACAGGTACTGAATTTTATTCTTTCTGAAATAACTAATATTTGTCTGTTATTCAAGGGTCATCCCCTTTTTCTTGGAAAACCATTTTGAAAGTTTTTGGTCCAATTTGAAAGATGGAATTTTTGTGGAATTTGTGGAGCCTTGTCAAAGAGTTTCATATTCAGAATGTTTTTTAAATTGTAAGGTTGCAGTGTTTAAAAACAAATAAGTTAATAAATAAATAAATATTTAAATATATTTTTTACTAGATAAATAGAAAAATAAGTAAAAAATAAATAAGAGTGTATGTAAAATATTTTAAGAGATGAAATGAGGGGCTCTAAATCTACATGTATTAAAACATGGCTATTACTATATTACTGGCTATTTTTTTGAACTGAAAAAAAAAAAGCATTCATTAAACAAATACAAGTTTATTTTAAGGGTTGGAACAAATACATTGTACATGCAGTAACTGGTTTCCTTTGATTGGTTTACAGCTGAAGCATGCAAGCCGTTATGTTCATGACTTGCTAACAGTTCTCACAAAACACATGGACATGCCCTCTATTCTGTACCTTCTTGATCTTGTGTCTAAACTGCCGCCTACAGCACACACTCGACAGACCCTTTACCTGGCATCTGTGCTGATCAGAATTGTGTGGAGAGCAGGACTCACCTCTGCAGTCGCTGAGGCTGGTCCTTCTGTGCACACTACCAGCCCTGTGCATGGACCATTGACATCAGGTTAGAATTTTAGCTGACAGCATTTAATAGAGATGAACAGGATTTGAAAGTTAATTTTACTGTGCTTCTTAATAATATAGGTGTCCATTTTACACACTGTAATGGTCAACAACAAGAACCAAACAGTGTATGTTCCAGGTTTTTGTCTACAGATTCAATGTGAATTGAACATTGATTGGACTGCAAGTTGCATGTTTGTCTATTGAGTCCTAAGACTCACAACAGTCTGTTGCTTTGTTGATCAGTTTGCTTTGTATTTTAGGAAGTACTAGAGCTGCAGTAGCTTCAGCAATGCAGAGGAAATACCACAGAACAGCAAGCCTTAGCCAGAGCAGCAGTAGGAGTGGCAGCTTGAGTGACATCAGCTGTGATGGAGAACAGCTTGATATGGATGAGTCACCCATGCCTCGGCATCAAAAATACACACAGTATGTATAGCTCATTATGGGTCTTTTTGTAGGGGCATTGTAAAATTTAGCATACATTTTGTTATTGCAGGGTAAAGACAATGAAATGAAGAAAAGGACCAAAATTGTTGTTGCCAGTTTTTTTTTATGAGTAAAGCACACAAATATGCATTATTGAACAAGCTTCCTCAGTCAAGATGGCTGCATATTTGCTAAGTGCTTTTTGCTTAAATATCTAAGATGAAGTTGAGGTCCCTTAACACATGTACACAAAGAACAAGGTTGCTTGACTGAATAAGCTTGGTTATTAAAGTATTTTATGGTGAAAATAAAATCTTTTCTTGCATGATGAAGTGGGCAGCCCAGTCGTAATGTATTGAAATAATACGCAGGATAACAAGAGTAGCAGACAGCAGAGACCTAAACTAGTTCAGTTTTAAGTTAATTTTATTTAACCTAAGTGTTGAGTGGGCAGCAAAATTAATATTCCACTGGAAGCAACAATTGCTGGCTGCTGGCTCATTTAGATCATTTTGACTTAGCGGAGTGGCCAAGATATACCTTAGCATGTTCCAGGCCCTCAGATAGTAGGGATGATGCGTATTAGTGAATGCATGTGAAAATATGAGTACCTAATCTGGGAAAAAGGGGCAGTGGCGGGAAAAAGGGAGGGAGGGCCTGTGATCATTTCTTTTACAACCCTCTTCCGTCCATTTTTGTTACATCTGGACACAGCGGTCAAACTGTCAAAATTTTAATTTGTTTTAATCATTCTCACATTTCCCGAGCCGGTATCTCACGCTACTTGAACTCCACAAATTTGAGAAGTTTCATGTGTGCCAATTACGGCTCTGAAATAGCGTCTGTGAATCTCGTAACCCATCATTCCAAGAAAAGAAAGCTTTAATCTTCATACACACTTCATTGAAACTATCACTATCTAACTATTGTGTTTTACAAGTTGTTTAGTGATATTTTACTTCCGCTGCTCTTCCTTTCCCCAGTTTTTTCCCATTTTATTTTCTTGTTCGTGCTTTCTCAATTGGGTGGACCCAGCTATCTTGGAGCCTAGAACAGGCGTGATGTGCCCATCTTTCCTGTTTGAGTAGGCCTATCATTTTGCCCACTTTTGGAACCAGCTCCATTACAAAGCCTAATGATAGATTTATTACTGTTAACATAATAATAACCAACCTTTGTATTTGTCTGTAGTCTGTCATCTCAAGGGAGTGCAGATATGGAAACAGAGGAACTGCCTCATCCTCCTGACCTCAGCCAATCGTTCCCCTGGCCAGGCTGAGGATTACTCCAGCCAAGAGAAAACAGGTGGAGAGGAAGCTGATATTGACAGCACCAGCTGCACTAACAGTCGAGGTAGCTCACTCTCAGATAGGCAGGACCTGGATGAGTTTGACACAGAAGGTGTGGAGGATGAACTGACTCAGCTAAAGACAGTGGCTGCTCTGCGTGTCATGCAGGATGAAGAGGGTGAACGAGAGAGGAGCCTAGGTTTTGATTTGAACTCAGTTTGTGAGGAAGGGAAGACACTGCTGTGGGACTTGATTCAAGATGATAATGCTGTAAGTACATGATGTTTTGCGCAGTGGGATCAAGTTGGATTCATCATTTGTCAGGACACATTTTGCAAGTTTATACTGTCACTCCAATGCAGCAAGTTTTTTGGGGGCCCCTTTTTGGAGCTGTTGATATTATCAGGGGAATTTTTTTGGCAGTCCCTTAACCCATTCGCTTCTGGAGATTTTGCCGAAAAACGCGTTTTGAAGCTAGTCGAGTGGTTTTCTGGTCACTGTCGTGCTATAAAGAGCTAAAACTTACCACAAACCGGTTTACAGGTCGTACACGTGGCGGCCTTCTGATCCAGATGCAAAATATGAGCTTGCGAAGTTTGGGCATGCGCAGAAAGCTTTCGCTTTTCTTGCCTCATTTTTTTTTTCTCTTGCTGGGCATTTAGTAGGCTTCATTTTGGTGGGAAGAGTTTTTAGGAAAGCTTTTAGGATCTTAGGATTAGGTGAAAGGAAAGGTAGGTGGGTAATGGAACAAGATTTTCATGAGGATTTTCAGGTCCTTGTCACGTGGTTTTTTGCTTCTTTCTCCGGTGTCCTTGACTGAATTGTGCTCATTCTGGTATGGTTTGAAAGATCTCTTCACTCTGCACAAGTTAGCGAAGAAAGTTGTCCTTGACCGTTAAAACTGATGATGTCACAAAGGGTAGAAAGGACCTGGATCCGCACGGGCGGTTCAGGGGCGAATGGGTTACCATGCAAATGACAATATTAGACAGTACAACAGACGTTAGATATTATCAAAACACCCTTGCATCGGTTTCATACCGGTGAATATCTTGTCTGACAAAGTATAATATGGAAGAGGAATGAAAAGATTGTTAAGAAAAAGAGCTGAAGAACACCAGAAGTCCTTGAATTTAGGAGTCTGCAATTCTGCCATAAGTCAACATCAACTGCTATCAGGGCACATGTTCCACAGAAACATGTTGTATGCTACCACAGTAGTTAATTAAGAGCCCCCAAGGTCCACGGAAAGATTAATGAAGGAATTAATGTAGGATGTTGGACGGCTCTGATGTGTACCCATTCCCACTCTGACAGGAGGTGAAAATTGGGCACTCATAACGATTTGATGTTTTCCCCGTTGCCTCAAGTTCCCAGTGTCAGGGTTGCTTTATAATCTTGTGATCCCCAGAGGCTAAGGTGATACTGTGGACAAGTTGGGCAGGTGCTGGCAAAAATTATTTTCATCTAAATTTGATTGCTCTTTCTCAATAGCCTTTATCTGTGTTTCTTACTACAGGATATTAAATATCTTCTGAATTTTGTGGGCATATTAATTTTAGCAGGGCTTGGTTCTGGAATTCTGTGATAATAAAAATGAATTGTTGAGTTGTTTCTTTAGATCCAGCTGGGTGATGGCTTGGTTCAGGAGGCAGAAAAGCTTCTCTGTCAGTTGATTTGTTACACAGGTGAAAAGAAGATCAGAATGAAGTTTATTGAAGGATGTGTTGCTAACTTAGCAACAAACAGGTGAGGGTTGACTAAGGTTGAGGCTATTTAGCTATTTCATTTCACCATTTTTTAGCTGTTTCTAAACTGGAAAACAATTGTGGGAGGTTGCTGTCTGTCATCATTTAAACAATTTAATACCATTGAATCCCAGTAACTTGGGGAAAAAAATCAGTTCAAATTTGCAGGGCTCAAATTATCACAGTCAATTGATTATTCAATTTGCCTTGCTAGCAATTGATAATTCACTGATTTTCCAGCACTTGTACCTAGTGTAACTCATCTCATCAAATCTGCAGCATTGTATGCATTCATACGATAATACAGTACTGTGAAATGTCTAACTCAGTTGCGCTCAATGTATGTCTGCTTATGTCAAGGCTGTGCTCTAAGGAAAATTGAAGGGAGCCCAGTGCTTTGAACCTGTAAAATTTAGGGTGCCCAGCATATGATTTGTATGAAAAATCTGAGATTTTCTAGTCGCCCAAGAGCAAAAGTCATGCTTGATGTACATTTGCTTATGTCATTCGTGTTGTTACATTTTTTCTAGCTTTTAATGTCTAACTCGATTTTTGAATGCATTACCACACAATAGACCCCTTCGAAAGTAGCTTATTTAAAAATCCAAGTGTACAACCACTGCCTTTTCTCTTCTCCTTCTTTCTTATTCCTCTTTCTCTTGCCTTATTAGATGCAAATTTCACTAGATTTGTTTCCAGAAATCTCGCTAGATGTTTCCAAAGAATTTTGCCAGTCTTTCAAAGTGTGGCACTGTGGACTGACAAACGGTGTTTTTAGGTCATTTGGCCTCAATTCAGCTAGTTCTGCAGAATCATGTAGCTGGATTTTGCGAAACATTATCACCAAGTAGAGATATTCCATCAAGCCTTGTATTTTTCAACGGAAAAATATTTCCAAAGTAGTGAATATTAAAAATGCATTTATGTCCAGGAACGCGCACAAATATGAAAATGTGCCTATAACACCAAACTGATGTTGACCGATAACCAAGATAGTGCTCTTTGTTGTTAACCATGTGAAGTTTCAGCTATCTGCTATGTTTTTGAAATGAAGACTTTGCTGTAAAAATAGCTGTTTGCTCTTTTGCTGTTCTCATTAGGTCAGTGGTGATGTCCATTCAGTTGCTTCCTAAACTGTTCAGTTCCTTCCAGCAGTTTGTTGCCACTGGACACGGCCCTCACTGGGTCACAATGTGGGCCAACAGAGACCTCAACATGATGGAGCTGTTCTTCAACAATATAGTACACTTTGTGGAAAGCTTATGCAAGGAGGATGTTGAGTGCAACTCGCTTTATAGTCCCTTGGAGGAAGTCCAGGCCAGACTCCAGTTTTTGTCATCTGTGTTCTCATGTGAACTGTCCCAGCAGGATTTCAGTGAGTTTACTATGATCATGTAGCCTCTAAGAGTGTTACAACCTTAACCTAGACCATTGGTCAGAGCTTTTCATACATTTGTTGGCTACTCACAGCTTTACTTTTCAAACTAATGAGACTACCATTCAGTTGGCTTGGTCCCTAACAAATATAAGTCAAACAGGATTAAGGTAAAGACTTCTGTCAGAGTCCAACTTACTATAACTTAATTTTACAAACTGCATATTCCTGCCATTATCAAGCTTTGCTGACCCCAGCTTTCAAGAAAAAAAAAAGCTTGTCATAGAGAACATGAATGCCCTTTGTACCTATTGTGTGATTTCATAGTTCATCAGAATGGTTTGTTTGACAGAATTGAGTGCAAGTCAAGTTGATGTCTTGTGGCAGTGCTTAGTTTGCAACTCTGATTGTTCTGACGATACACTGGAGTGGTTTTTACAGCAAGCACAAAGTAAAGAGTTTCACGCCTTAGATGCATCTGCTCTACAGTACATCTACACTGAAAAGGTGCCGAATAGCGTTCTGACACAACTAAAATGGCTATGAAGATAATTTGGATCAAGTTAGGTTTTTCGGAAACTGCCCACCCACCCCTCCCCTGAGCTAACATTAACACTAAGGACAAAATGATGGCTTAGGGGAGGGGTAGGTGGGCAGTATCCCAGAAACCCAAATTGATCTGATAATTTCAGTTAGCCCATTTAAATACTTACCTGTTTCAATTACAATGGTTCCAAATGTCTTGTAAGAGTTTCAAGTGTGTTGCCTACATTTATTTTTGAGTTTTTTGGTTATTTTTTACTCTTTTAGTGGTAAGAGAGATACCATGTAATACCCATTTGCTAGCCTGTGAGCCCATGACAGCTTTTGCCCCTCCTGCTTGTAATGGCAATGAAACTGCTTGTCCTGAAGTAACTCAGTTATAAACAAGGCAATGGAGGTCACTAACTAGCACTGTTTTAAGATCTTGGATGTAACTTACTTTGATATATTTTAATGCAAGTGTCATGTCCACTATCACTGTTGACAGGAATGAAAAAAAGAGATCACTTTTTACAACTGACCAGTGGCATGACTCTTAAGTTGACAGTTGGGTTTTAATGCTTTGCAGCTCCCATCACTTCCCCCTGAAAAATGTTCCATGACAGGCCTTCATCTCCTTCAGCAACTATACAAGCTCTTCAAATACTCCGATGTCAAGCCCTGTGATCCTACTAAGGTAACTGCATCTTTAAGCGATTCTATGATGTCTTGCAGTTTATAAAGAGAGTGAGGCAAGATGCCGTGGTTGAAATGCATTTATCATTCCCTTTGATGCTTGTCCAGAATGATAAATGCACACCTTCTAAAAATGTTTACACAATGATACTTACCCAGTGTTGTTTTTTGTTGTTACCCTGTCTCTTCTGCTGGTATTTCATTTGAAATTGCACATGTTCTGCCGGCTTAACTTTTGTTGTTTCTTTCTTCTATTTGCATTTCAAGATAGCTGCCAAACAATCTGTATTTCTGAGAAACAAACAATCTAATGGGCATGAAATTTGTCAAATTTAGTAACTTCTGAAGCTTTTCTTGTAAATGACCAGTTTTGTTATTCAATCATGGCAAATCTCCACTGAGTACTACTTCTTCCGTCCGTGTTCTTTCATTTTATAAGCTTCTTTTGTGTGAGTGCCAGCAGCCTTCCAGCTGTATAATTTTGAGGTTTATAATCATTTCTCCTACCTACAGTTGTGTGGTATAGACCAGTTATGGAACATCGCTGTACAGGCCAAGTCAACAGAGGTCAGCTGGGCAGCCATCACCTACCTGAATTCTCTTTACATCAATGGTAACCACAGTTTACTCATTACTGTTTAATCATATGCCCACTTCTGATGAAGTAAACCATGTTGAGTCATGTTCTTGAAACTAAAGATACATGCAAGAACAGCCAGATTACATATAAATTGTTGGCTGTTGCAGAATAATTTTAGTAGCTTCATTCCCTTATCAGCAATAGTAAGCCCTACTTCCTTGGCTTTTTGCAAGATGATTAACATGTACGTCTTCTCATGGTATATGTTTTGATCTGGGTATATGCACTTGACCATTTTAAGTCATCTGCTATTTAAAATGTGAGATTTAGAAAACTTACTGAGTAAGTCTTTTAGGCAGTCTATTGCATGACAAGTAGGAGGGCAGCACCTATTCATATAAAATGATTTTACTTTTCAGCTAACGGTGGAGCACTGAAGTTTGAAGATGAATTTATCGGTAGATGCATGACAATCATTGGAAGCGCTTCTCAACATCTGAACGTGGTATAGTATTAGTTGTCCTTCATTAACGTGTCGTTGTTATTCATATTTGTATGAAGGTGGGTCATGTTTAAATAATAAGCGGCAGATTATGAAGTAAACTAAATCATGTGTAGTATGTATGCATAAAAACAAAAGGGGGCATAATCTATAACCATTGTTTTGCCAGCTGAAAAATGCAGATTATACGTAGGTCAAATAATGTAAGACTTTGGCATGAAGTGGTTGTGCAGCAGGATCTGTACTTAGAATCAATTTATCATGAAACTCTAGGAAACAGAGTTCCCAGTATAGCTAACTAATGTGCTATTAACTTGTATTTTATTCCTTTTTTTTTCCTTAGGAAAAGAATCTTCAAATAATGGAGAGAGGATTGCTTCTGTTAAAAAGTCACATTGAAAGCTTTAAAAGGAGGTTTGTGTGCTCAGCTACATGTGGGTCATATTTGAACACCTTTGTGGGAATTTGAATCCCCGTGACAGGTCCCACACTGGAGGAATTATTTTAGAAGTACCCTAGAATGTTTCCATGCGGAATATTTCGAGTTAGTTTGACAACAGTGTTTCAAGTTCTATTTTTTCGTTTGTGTGTAGTAAAATTTTTATGACGTTTCTGATTCCTGTTGCATTGTTGTGTGGCACACAAATGGCAGTCAGTGTGTGATAAGAGAGAAATCGTTTTTCACCTCGTATTACTTATAGTTAGGGGTAGTTAGGGGCATTGTAATATTAAAGAGGGAAGGTCAGAAACAGAAAACCGAAACCCATCAGTCCTCTTGGAAAAGGTTCCATCCACTTGTTTACTGATTTATATGAAGTTGTGTGGGCAAATAACTGGCTCTGCAAATCTCTTTTATTTTTTGAAAGGACAAATGTTTTAGCAGGGCACTGTTTTAGTTGGAAAACCGTATAGGTTGTTGGGCATACATTGTACATATTTTTGACTTGTTTTAATTTCTTCAAGCACCTCAGCTACAAACTAATAGTGTTAAGCACTTGATCTTCTCGGTGACCATGTCCTACAGGATTTTGTTGGACTTAGGCAAATTTCAGTCGGATATTGTCTGATAACTGACTGTTGTTTTACAGTCCTGTGCGGTAACACTTGTTGATTGTTCACTTGTGTTTTACCTTGCAGGTTTGCTTTTCATTTGCGACTCTGGTGGCTTGAAGGACGGGGAATCACTTGTCACCAGCAGATTCTTCAGAGGCCTTCAGAAAAACATTACCCAATCAGGGTGATGTGTCAGCCGGCTGGTCTCTCAGATAAGGTATTTCTTCTTTAGGTCAGGTGTGGTCAACTTACTAATTTAGTGGAAGAACTGTACAGGAAGTAATTGATTTTTGCTCGGACTAATTTGGTGGAAGGACTGTACAGGAAGTAGTTATTGATTGTTGCTCGGAGTCTACTTGTTGTCGTTACATACCAACCAAAATCTACTGTATCTAGTTATTGTTATGTTTTACCATTTGGGTTTACCATCTCCCTAACATTATTCCAACATCCACACTAGTACTTCACACTGCTTATTTACCTATGTCATTATTTTCTCTGAATTGTTTTCTTTGATGATTTAGGGTACATTTGAGATGAATTCTTCAGATCTTGTAGCTGATCTTCGAGCAGAAGTGACATTTTGGTGTAAACAGCTGCAGGAAAAGTTAAAGAAGGAAAGTCGACTAGGAGATGGTTCAACTCAGCATGCACCCCTCGCACCCTTCTCGCCTCAACTCCGTCCACCTTTTAGACTCATATCTCAGGGGCATGAACTTACCCCTGACTTAGATGAAAAGAGTCTTGCTGAAGTGGGCTTTAAAGACTTACAGGTACCACTGGTTCTTGAATAACTACTCGAAAACGTTCACATGACTTCAAAATACCCAACAGTTTAAGTCACGTATTGTTAATTTAAATAATATACTTTGTTGAATGCCGTGGGAAAATGCAGACTTTGCAATAATGTTAATGTTCACACAGAAGTATGAGATTTACACCCCTCGAAACAGGTAAAAGACAACGAACTTAAAAGAACTCCTTCAAAAAGTGTTGCTAAGTGGGTTGTATCTGCGTTTTGTCGGTTTAGGGTGACTTTTCCATCACTTCAATTGTTTGCGATCTTTTTGACATCAATTAGAACTTTTTAAAAAAACTTTTGTTCAAAAGTTTTCTTCTAACTGCGTGTTCTAAAGAATGTGTGTTGGATTATACTGAAACTATTGAAATGACAATTCCCCAACGCGCCACTTGTCTGTTGCGTGTCTTTGTACGAAGGTCTGAAAATGGTAGCTGGGTAATGGGAAGAACGTTACCCTTTTTCTGCTATGATTTGCGCAACATGAATGTGAAATAGATGTTGAACGAAGGTTGAAACTGTCTCAGTGGGTCTTTGGATGCTCTTTCAGATAGATTTTGTTACAATATTTTAGTGCAGGCCATTATAGTTCATTTGTAGTTAGCTGCTTTGGAAAGGCGTCGTTGAAAAGGAAACTTACTGTACAGTCAGAGTCTGACAGTGTAGATGCCGTGGGTAAATTTGACTAGTATTCAACCTGCAAGGGTTAGCTTTTTGTTAGGGGTCTTATCCTGGAAATCTAGAAAGAATACTGGTGCAACGTGATTGTTTCTTCTGTTTTACAGCTGGTTTTTGTGTCCGTCGGAGCTGTGAGGAAAGAGAGACATCATGACAGTGGCTTTATTCCCTCCTCGTCTCTTCCAACACCCGAGTGGGAATCTACACCTATGATTATTCTCCTACAAGAACAATACTTTGAACAACTGTTTGGCTTCTTGGAAGCTTTAGATAAGTTTGTGACCTCAAGAAGTAACACGGCAAATATTTCAATTCCTGATCCATCAACAACACCAGAAATGTCGCAAGAGACAGTTACTGCTGGAAAGGTCTCGGAATCGGCTTTTCATAGTACCAAAGTACCTTTGCTTCCACTGATGGAAAGTCGGTTTGAATTTCTCTGTGGGATTACTTGGGAACTTTTATTTCTTTTACCTACAAACCAGTCAATTTTAAACAAACTGAGATATTTTGATAAAGGTTTGACGACAGACTCGAAAGGTGTAGAGAGTGAAAGTTACTCGGATCAGAGAACAGACGAGAGAGGTCAATCAAAGGGTAGTATATGGGAATCATTATTGGACCCAAACTTTCCCCACAAACTGTTGTATTCTCTTCAAGTTATAGACTTGATACATAACTCGTCAAAGGAGACTCAAACGCAGTCTTCACCAACTTATTCTAGGCTTAGTAGTGATTCTGAAATCTCAGATAATGACGAAGAGAAAGAGGTTGCGGCGCCACAGACCGCTGCTCCCTCTTGGGGATCTAATTTTATTGAATTGGGGGGACTTGAACACTTGTATCGAATCCTAATGTCAGGCTGTTTGGAAACCAAAGGAAGCTCGTTTTGGACTCAGTGGCATCAGGAATGTCTCGCGCACTCGTTAAAACTTATTTGCGAGTTTGGAACAATGAAACTTAACAAAGACGATGATGATGATGTTTTTGCGTCATCAGAAAGTGAGATAAAGAAGTTACAAATTCAGAGGAAAGATGGCCAGTTTCGTGTAAGATACAAAAGTACTGACAAAGAGGAGGTTATATGCATCAAATGCTTGTCCTCCAATCTTATGTCCATTCTGAATGTGAACTCACTGCTAGAGAAACTTCTTCACATTTCTTATCAAGCAACATTGCCTATTCATGGTGGTCAAAGCAGAGCTAGTGGAGATGGTAAGTGTTTTTGGTCTTGTCCTGTATTTTTATCCAGATGGGTGTGGACGGGGCCTTCGGGGGTACTTTCTTATAAGAGGCTAATGGGGATGTGCTTCTGGATGGGGTTGCGTTTTCCATTTTCAGTAGAGTTGGGGTAAGAACGTTCTTCACACTTACGGTTAGCAAACGTACCAGAATGTTTGTGCTGTAGGTTAAAGTAAAGTGTTCTTCATTCATTTTAAAAAATGTGTCAATTCATTTTAGGATGATCTATATAAAGGGTTGATAAATCGTAGATACATTAATAGAAAGTGACTAAGTTGGGATCGCGAAATCTACATTTGCCCAAAAGTGACTAAGATGGGGTCTATAATGGGCCATTGAATAGACTACAATGGGGTAGGGGCTCTGAGAGGCCGGCGGCACATACCCAGCAATAATTAACCCAAGGACTCCCCCCCTCCCCGGGGGGCATTAAGGAGGGCCTTAAACCGCTCTGGAGAGCGGTTTTAAAACAATGCGATTTCGGTGTCCGGATTCTCTGGTTTCGTGTGGACGGAAGGCGCATTCGTGTTAAAAAAAAGTATTCAGACTCAAAAATATCGGGATTCGTATGGGCGTCGCCTTAGCCAGACACAGTTCCTTTCATGAAACAGAAATTATCCAAAGCTCGGTTTCAGTAATAACCAGTGGCGGATCCAGGGGGGCCCGGCCCGACCCCCCCACGACCATAATTTTTGACCAAACTGAGGCCCCAAGAGCCGAATTTTTTTTTTTGGAGGCCGGCCCCCTCCCCCCTCCTTTATCTCAGGGTCAGGAGGACCGGGTCTCTCCCTTATCTGAAGGTTTGGTGTGGATTTACCGAGCACTTTACGACTTACGCTTATTGCTACTCATTTCTTCATTTCCTGTTTATTACTGTCTTGTCAAGTTGTTCATCACGCTGTGTCCCTGCTTGTGTCTGCTGCCTTTACTGATGGGACTGTAAGAAGCTCCCTTCTCCAACAAAGCAACTTCAAACCCTGGCTCCAACAGCTGGTGCTTTTAGCCAAAGAGGTAACACTTACATTGTTTGCTCGTCGAAAAACGTGTGAAATCGTCCGCCAGAGCTACCATGCCGTCTGCTGTCCCTTTTTCGGCCGATTGTCAATGCGATGAACTTCAATGATTCTGATAGCGGTGAATGTCATACAAATTTCATTGGAGGGGAACGTTAAATATATTTTATGAATAATGATGCAATGTATTACTGCTTATTATGTCTAGCTCATAACCTTTTCCCTCCCAAAAGAGCCGAAAGTTTAATTCATCAGAATTTCCTAATTTGATATTCTGAAATGCTGGAAATAGATAGTATTTTGTCGAGGAAAGGTTTGGCGTTCATAGTTGCTGAGGCTTTAGGGTGATGTGACGTTATTTTTATTGTCAAAATCACGGCCATGTAACTAACAAAGTCAGTTCGCTTGTGTTATTGCATTCGGATTATAACTAACATTTTCATGCAAATTCAGTTGACGAAGTTGTGCTTCTTTTCACCTCTCTCTTTTTTTTCAGCCAAGTGTGAGATTTGAAGCCTGCCGTGGACTCTACCGGCTGAGCCTGATAAAAGAAAACTCCTGCCTGATACAGCTCATGGATGCCTTGCTGGATTCTCTTCCGTTAGCACAATCTCTTCAATCGAAAGAAACTTCTCGAGGAAGAAGGCAAGAGCCGAATGCACGAGAGTACTTTTCAATACTCTGTAGGCTTGTGGATGGTTTACCAACAGCGGAGGGGGGTGAAAAGGTACAATTGATGTAATATATCAAGCATGCATCGCAGTACTTGATCTCCAGATGAAACACCGAGAAGAGAGTTGAAAATGCGACTCGCAGCGGAGTATTTTTGACAAACTTCGAGGTGTTTCATCTGGTAATGAAACACTGTGTCGAATGCTCGATATTACTTCTCAAACAAAAGGATTTTAGATGGAGAAATTAAGGGTGCAAAAATGAGCAGTCTTTTTTATCTGATTTTCAAACACTGATGAAACATTAATTTTCTTTGTATTTTCTTTATGAATAATTTGTGAGTTTGAGTAATTGTAGGGAAAGACATAGCTTGAGAAAGCAGCCGACATTTCCCGACGTCACCTCTCGTTTCCCCACGAAATTGAATCTGAGGAACGAGAGCAGAAATTCCATACCGATGACGTGTCACTAGCCAGATCTGGGTTCTCATTGGTTGAAGCAAATTTCACTCGCGGATCGACCAATCAGAAGCACCGTCCAGATCTGGGTTGTGACACGTCATCAGTATGGAATTTTATGGGCTCGTTCCTCAAACGTCATTTTGCGGGAAACCAGCGGTGGCGTCGTTTAATGTCGGTAGAGTTGACTTTGATTTTTTAGAGTTTGGTTATTTAGCCTTTAATCTGCTCTTTTTCTTATCAGGACCATGATGTTGACCTGGATTGTTTAGCCAAATTGCTTGCTAGTTATATAAGAAGCATGTAAGTAGTATTTTCAGTTATGTTTTAAATGTGACTAACTTGTAATTTCGGCACGGTTAACCTCGACACATCACTAGAGGGTCAGCGGTTGAGCTCCAGGCAGGCAGGGGCGTGCGGGGTGGCCACCTGGTCTGCAGGGGCTTAAATGTGGATGCATATCTCTGGTCTGCCTTGCTTTGCTCTGCTGATCTTTCCGGATCATTGCAATTCACGACCTGTGATATCTGCTGGTTTCCGCTCCCACTCTTCCCACCCCTGAATAGGTAAGTATGCGTTGTGGTAAGTATTCCACTGAACTCTTTCAGTGCGACGGTACCCGGTGGTTGGCGCTGGCTTGGTTGCCATGGTTACCTTCAAGACATTGCTCCCCTTTTGCGCTACAGGTCCTTCCACCTTTAAGGCACCCGCTCCACAGCTCATCTTGCCGATGACAAGATAGTAAACTCGTGGAACCTGTACTTTGTTTAACTCATGTAGTGATCATACCTTTTTTTACAGCCAACCCAGCACCAAACAGCCATATGGAAGCTATGAAAATGAAGGTCTGAGTGGCATGTTAAAGCTGTGTACGGCTGTTATGAGACACGATCCTTCGTTCAAGATGTCTCCAGCAGGGCTGGTTAGTGACCCGTGTAATCATAATATATAGATTTAGCCAGGGCTAAAAGCGACGCTATCGTTACTATACTTATAATCTAGTCACAAAAAAATAAAATCGTGTAATGCGAAACGGCGAAGGCATTGAGAACGGCAAAAAAAAAAAACAAACAAACAAACAAGAAAAAGGAAAAGAAGAAAAAAAAAGGAACAACAACAACAACAATAGGCCTAATTAGCAAAAAAACAACATTTTACATTTTGCAGACAAATGTGCTCAAAAATAAATAAAAACTTACTAATTTTTCGTATGATATATAAGTGGAAGAGGGTTGCTTATCCACTACCTCCTAAAAGTGTCAGGAAAATTTTGATGACATCACTCGCGCGTTTCCTCGGCAGTTCACCTTATTGACTATCTCAGCCATTCATCTTTCCATTTCCTGTGAGTATATATGCAGAACCCCACACGTCCTTGCTTTCCAGCCTTCAAATGGGTCACCCAAAGAAAGTACAATGCAATTTAGAATTAAAACCTACTTTTCCATTCAGTTTGCAGTTCAAATATAAAGCATAAAATACAGGGACGTGTTAACTTTGTGATCACGACTCAGTGTGTTTTCTTTTTTCTTTGTTTTCAGGAATTTCTGCGTGATGTATTCCATTCCTGTTTGTTTTCGCTTCCAGAGGACTGTTGTGATCAGAGAGATTTACCTCTCTGCAAATCCAAGGTACTGTTCTGAGCAAAATTAAGGTTTTAAAAAGCAAAAAAAAAAACAACAACAAACAAACAAACAAACAAAACAAAACGAAATAAATAATTAAAAAAAAAAAACGGAGACCATTGACTGACGTGGACCAGTGTGCACCAATCTGAGAAATGTTTTAGTTGCTTAGCAGAATGACTTACGAAGGAGCCGAACTTTTAGAGTTCGTTAAATTTTACTCTTTTCTGGCGTTTTGAGTGAGACAAAATTGTGAAAAAGCAACAATGTACAGCATGTAGAGGAATACCGATTTAACGGTGGTTCTTTTTTATTCATCTTTGTTTATTATTTTGTGTTATTAGTTGGCCAGGAGTGCTGCATTTGATCTTCTCTTGGAGATGGCTAGAGGCTGCAAAGAAAACTTCCTTGAAATTCAGAAATTGTTGTTGAAACATCATAGTGCTGGTGAGAGATTGCTACCTTGCGTTACTCGCGTTACTAGTGTACAGCTCTGAATACGCTGGTCTTTTAAGTCATAACTTCACAAAATGACAATTTCCGTCTGTTTCATACAGGGCGAAAAATGTAAACAAGGATTGGCCTATAGCCTTCTTTATTGTTTTTAAGGGTGTTACTTTATTTTTACATAGATGGTAAAAAGAAGTCCTCTTATGGCTGGCACTATTGGCCTCATGACAATGGCCGTTCGCCGTGTGGGCTGGTTGGGATGATCAATTTAGGAGCCACCTGTTACATGGCCTCTTGTATGCAACAGCTTTACATGATGCCTCAAGCCAGGGCTGCCATTCTTAACTCAAGGGTTTGTAGTCTTTCATTGATTTACAAGTAAGAAAGTACATTGTTGTATTGAAGCATACGTGAGCGCTCCCTCTCGTTCTCAATTGAAATCAATGATGCATGTTCAACAATTAATAAGTAAGATAACCCTTGATTCACATCCGCTTACTATTGAAGTGCCGATGCCCACGATTTTGTGCCCTCCTACCTTGTCTGATGTTGACTCTTTGTGGCCAACCATAGCATACACTTGTTTTCTTTTGAACGTTTTAAAATGTGCTTTATCAACGTAATTGAGTCATTAATTTTATTTATGGGAGGAATGGAATCCCGGGTTTATAGGTGCTCAGCTACTTTTGTTTAGGACTTACAATGTCTTAGCGCAAACAGTCTTAATGAAGAGCACCTTAAACGTTCCATGTTTTCCCAAGTTCCTATATACGTTATTCAAATAATGTTCTACAGGTTCTCCTAGTACATGCTTTCATGCCTTGCTCTAAAGGCCATTCTTCAGTAACTTTCTCCTTGTTCACTTCTCAGATCAGCAGTGATGTAAAACACGAGGTTCTCTTGCGTGAAATGCAAAGAATGTTCTGCTTTTTAATGGTTAGTCCTTTATTTGGTCGTTTAATCAAAACTACTTTCAAATCCAGAGTGTCCATGAACAACGTTCTCGTTTTCGTAGCCCGGTTAGTAACGTCTGCGAACAGCGGCGAGGCCCTTGTTCTGGGCCCTCGACGGACTCAACGAATTACCTGAAGTGCGGTTTGATTTCCCTTCGACCTAATTGGCAAGTCGGCAATGGCTTTTTTAACAGGCCAATCATGGCCCTTACTCAAATCCTGGTACACAGCTGAGCTGAAGGCCCAGAACAAGGATTTTGGCACTGGCTCGCAGACGGACTTACCAGAGGTTTGGTTTTGTCTGTGGCGATGGCTATAGTTGCCCGTCACCGTCGTAACATCTTTAACTTCCCTATTATAGCATTTAAGACCTTTTGACCCCTGCTTTAGTGGCTGTTACCGTCCTGGAGAGGTGGCCGATATAGAGAGTGTCAAAAGAAGAGCGAGTGTACGAACTGTTTGCTGGGGCATGAAACGTGGCCCGCCAAAGTGAAAAAATGGTCATCAGAGGTTCGACAGAAACATAAGGCAATATGTAATGTAAGATTTAGTTGATATCGGGGATAAAATACTAGTATTCGAAGGGGTGTTGCATTCAGGTTTAAACCTCGGATCATTTCCAAGTCGATTTATACTTGAAAAAACACAAGCCAAGACGCTACGAATTTATGGAACATCTTGAAAACTAGAAACCTTTGTATCTGACTATCGTGCGTTCTTCTCTGCCTCCCAGGCCAGCGAGAGAAAGGCTTATAACCCAAAAACATTCTGTCGGACATACACGATGGATAAACAGCCACTGAACACTGGAGAACAGAAAGACATGACGGAATTCTTCACTGATCTGATCGGCAAAATAGAAGAAATGTCTTCTGTACTGGTGAGAAAGCTCTGCGTTGTAAAGCCCCATGGAAACGAACGCAACATTGTTGGCCAACGACTCCAAACATTATTGGGTGTTACATGTTGCGTCCGTTTGCACACTCTGTTGCAAATTGTTGCGTGTTGTTGGGAGTTGTTGCTCAAAACTTGAAACTGGTCAAACTTTTGAGACAATACCTTCCAACATTTCTTTAGTTTCGTGATCACCGAAGTTTAGCGCAACAATTTTGGATGTGCTTGCATAGCTCTTCCAACATTGTTGGGACCACGTATGCGCATTACACATGGTCTCTTAAGTCTTATGGGTTGTATCCTTCCCACAATGCTCTGCAGGTCCCAACATTGTTGGGAGTTGTTGCATCTGTTTGCACACCACCACTGCCAACACGCATGCAACAACTTCGAACATTGTTGGCGCAACAATGTTGGGAGTTGCCGCGTTCGTTTGCACGTAGCTTAATGATCAGTTAGTAGATTGTCTTGATACTGTGATGAGAATTGATGAAGGCAAGGGTAGGTGTAAGGGGAACACAGGTGGTTCAGTGGTGAGAGCACTCGCCTCCCACCAATGTGGCCCAGGTTCAAATTTTGACGTCGACGTCGACGTTGATGGGTTTGGTTTGTTGTTGGTTCTCTTCCTGGTTTTTCTCCTGGTACTCCGGTTTTCCCCTCGTCTCAAAAATCAACGCTTCCAAATTCCTATTTGTTCTGGAACGCATGGACACTTTTAAGCGAGTTCTTAAGAACTTCTAACTCCCATTGTATTGCAATTGCATTACATTCAGGTAGATTTGAAACATGTATCTTTGTGACAGGCAAATGATCTGTGATACTTACGAGTCACCCTTGTCTATTATACTACCTTAAAGCAAAGTCTTTTACTTATTCGAATTGAGGTGTGGGGCGGGGAATAAAAGAGAACAGAATAAACAAACTTTATTAATATAACCCTAACTCTTTCACTCAAAAGTTAAAATGTATAACTTTCCCTTTTCAGAAAGTGTTGGTGAGAGATTTGTTCTGTGGGGAAATTAGCAACAATGTTGTTTCACTGGTAAGAAATCACTGACGAGAGTGCAACTTAAACTTTTCCTTTTCTAGTCTTGATGATAATAATATTGTTGCAAATTGACGGTCTTTTGCAACGAGGATAATTGCCTACAGAATTGAGTATTTTGAAATACCAAACAGTATGTTTATTTATCCTTTTTTTGTGTCCATTTAGGATTGTTCTCATGTTAGTAAAACAAGCGAAGAGTTTTATTCAGTCAGATGCACTGTCGCAGACATGAAAAGTCTTTATGTGAGTTTGAATTGCAATTCGCCACCCAAGAAACGAAAGGAAAATTGGCCGAGTGAACTTTTGGAAAGGCTTCTGGGACTGTTTTTAAGTACAAGGGAAAAAATGGCCAATAGCTGAGCGGCGCATTCCTAGCAACGATCCCAGAAGTCTTTGCGAAAGCTAACTCGGACCAGTTTCCTTCTCGGTTCTTAAGTGTTGAATTGAAGAGTAGACCTGTAAAAATGTTCTTGGTGTTTGCCGCACATTTATATTTTTGGCGAACTACAGCGGAACAATGCGCCAAATTTTTCTTTTCCCTTAAGTCCCCGAATTCAAGTCCCGCGCTAAGCGCTACATGGATTTGTCCTCGGTAGTCCCGAGTTCAGATCCTCGGTCACGCTTGGAAAATAGCCAACTTGTTCGCCTCCAGCCAGTTGGGATTCTTAACTTTGTTATCTTCCGTTATGTCCCCATACGGGGAGAGGATAACTTAGTATTTTTTTTATGGGTGGGGGGAGGGGTAGGGGTGGGAGGAGGGGTGGGGGATAATCTGGGGGAAGCGGAAGAGTTTCTTAACATTGATATGAACGTGGCTCTTTTTTTCTTCTTTTCGGTGTGAAGGAATCCCTCGATGAAGTGACCATCAAAGATACTCTAGATGGTGACAATATGTACACATGCTCTCAGTGTGGAAAGAAAGTCCGGGCAGAAAAACGGTGAGGAGCAGTTTCGTCAAGTCTAGAGTTTTTTTTCCTCTTGAGAGGTCATGGCAATTTCCACTCTTTCATGTATAGCCCATAAAACGTAGGTAACAGGGGAAATATTTGACTGTCTAACTTGAGTAAATTTAATTCAATTTTATTCAATAGTCCAAGTTTGAAAAATATTTTTTAAAAAAACATTGCAATGAATTTTTAAAAATGGAGTACATTGAAGCTGTCACAAGAGATTTCTTCTGAAATTCACCAAAACATTTGCTGCACAACAATCGAATTATCTGGTAAAAGCTTCGATTTATTACCCTGTTTTCACGCGTTAAATGTATGTACGTACGCGAGAAAGCGTTTCTTTTGGCATTGAGCCGAGATTCTATTGTCTGTTTTTGTTGTTTGTCCCATGTTAGGGCGTGTTTTAAAGTTCTTCCTCGTATCCTATGCTTCAACACGATGCGCTATGCATTCAACATGGTGACCATGATGAAGGAGAAGGTAAACACACACTTTTCCTTTCCACTGCAACTAAATATGGCTCCGTACACTGAAGATTTTCTGATGGGAGACCAACAAGATCAAGGTATTGAAACATGCAATTTCGTCGTTTTAGTACTCGTCGTATTAAATGTCTTGGGGAGCAATCTTAGCGCAGTGGTGAGAGCACTTGTCTCCCACCAGTGTGGTCCGTGTTCAGATCCCAGCATCGACGCCTTATGTGGGTTGAGTTTGTTGTTTGTTCTCTTCCTTGCTCCGAGAGGTTTTTCTTCGGGTACTCCGGTTTTCCCCTCTTCTCAGAAACCAACATTTCCAAAAAACAATTCGACCAGGATCAGGTAGACGAAGAACCGCGTAGAGGATGTGCTACTTCTTCAAATCGTTATTTATTATTTATTTGACCTTTCCAAGGTCGATGTAAGTATTGTTCGCCAATTCATGAATTTAGACTTTTAATTGTACTTTTGACGGTCTGGATTTAATTATTTTTCATTTAACAAATGAAAGCCTTACAAACGTCGATGCTGGTGACGGCATTGTTCTTGTAGTTGTCGAACCAGTCTTAAGTAGATTTCTAATTGCGTCTTTCGGCAAAATTTCCAGGGCCTTAAATAGATTACCTTCCAACTAAGGAGCTGTGTGTTTTGTTTTTTTCGGAGGGGTGGGGGGAAGGGAAAGGGTAGTGTGCGATTTTGTGGCACAGTGGTGTAACCGTCCCTCTGTCGTGTAATCGATCCCGGGATCGAGTCCCAGCTACGGGATGTTGATTTCCCCTTTAGTTGTTATTTTTTCCCTTTTTTTCCCATTTATTTCCTTTTCCAATTTTTTTCCATTTTCCTTTCCCTTTAGCTGGGCGAGGATCGGTGTGACGCCTATTTGTTTTCTTGATTGTGTTCTCTTTCGTTAGATCCTCAGCAGGATCTCAGTTACTGGTACCAGTTGATTGGAGTCGTCGTTCACACGGGTACAGCAGAGGGGGGACATTACTACAGCTTCATCCGTGACCGCTCCTCCCCACAGGGGCGTGATCAGTGGTTCCTGTTCAATGACGCTGAAGTGAAGCCTTTTGATCCTGCTCAGATAGGTTCGGAGTGTTTTGGGGGCGAAATGACGGTCAGTTCAACAACCGCCTGTCAAGAAGCCTGAGAAAACACCCGACATTTTGGCACGCCACCACTTGTTTCCAAGAAAAACGACGTCTGAGGAACGAGCATAGAAGTTCCATGCTGATGACGTGTCACTACCTAGATCTGGGTAGAGCTTCTGATTGGTTGAAACAAATTTTCCTTGCGGCACGACCAATCAGAAGCACTACCTAGATCTGGATAGTGATACGTCATCAGTATGGAATCTCTGCAGTCGTTCTTCAGACTTAATTTCGCGGGGAAACCAGTGGTGGGGTCGCGGAATGACGGCTGCATTCTCAGGTTACCTGTCGTGAGTGTGTAAGCTCAACAATCTTTCCGTTCCGTATTTAAGAACTGTTTAGTTAAACATGGCATGAAATTGTTTCGTTCATAAAAGCTGCTTACTGTTTTTAGTTAATTGTAAATTTAGTGCAAATTACAAAACATGTTGAGAGGACATTTCCAAGTTTCCCCGGGCCTCTGTATCAAAACGAGGTTAAGTGCTCGGCCTTTGATATGGAAATGATTTTTCATTCTCACATGCAAGTAAAACATATTTTCACAAGAAAGGCTGTGCACTTGGCCTCATTTTGAAAGTAAGGGTTTTTGGAACTCGGAAGTGGCCTGTTTCATTTGAATCCTGTGTAAAAGCCTGTATTTCAGTTTTCTCTGTCTGTTTTTTATATTTTTTTAAAAATCTGGTTTAGTTAAACATTTTAAGTCGGTGTGAATGGGGCATTAGTTATTTTTGTTTTGCAACCACGTGACGTGGCGGTGGCGGCCATGTTGGTGATCAATACAATAAAAATTATTTCAAAGAATTTACTTGAAAATGGAGTTTAGTTCTCAGAGGATATAAATGTTTCTGTTCTTGACCACCAACGTGGCTGCCATGATTTCACGTGCAAACCAGCAATAATTATGTGTATTTTTGCTTCTCGCATCAGACCAAGACCTACGACGCCGTGACAGAGAAGTTCATGGACTTTTCCTTTGAGAAGACACACAGTGCTTACATGCTGTTCTACGAACGCTGTGATCCGAGCAAGAAAGATCTTCTGTCTGAAACACCCAACATTGAGTTAAATCAAGAGCTGGCAGACTGGATTTGGCATGATAACATTCAGTTCTTGCACGACAAGCACGTCTTTGATACAACGTACTTCAATTTCATGTGGCTTATATGCAGTAATATTCCGCCCTCGTTGCCAGAGTGCAAGGACGTTATGTTGTCAAATGTCAAATTAGGTAGGTATGGGGAGTGGGAGCAGAAACCGGCAGATATCTTAAGTCGTGAATTCGCAATGACCGGCAGAGATCAGCAAAGCAAAACGGGCAAGGCTTAGTGATGAAATCACATGTAAACCCAGCGTCTACCCGGCACAAGCCTGCCTGCATGGGGTTCAATCGCTGACCCTCTAGTGTTGTCTCTAGGTTAACCTTTACCTTCCCTAAATTACAATTTAGCCACGTTAAATGCATTTCTTGTTGCAGGGACGTCATTCTTGCTGGAAACTTTAGTCCACGCCAAAGAGAAGCTTCTGATAAAGAATTGGGCTGACCTTTTGCTGTCGCAGTATGAGCAGTCTTCGCTGGTTTGTCAGTGGCTCCTAGAAACACTGACATCTGAAGAATGGCTACTTCAGCTTCTGGTCAAGTGTCCGATACAGAGTATACGGCATGTAAGTTGAAAAAAGTCCTTGTCTGTTTAGGAGGTAAATTTTCTTCCAGATGGTTCTAAGGTAGAGATTATTGCCTAAGCCTAAAATTGATTGTCGTGAAGTCATGGCTTGCGCCACAGACGGAAATTAAGTTCTGGTTAAGTCTGTCTGCAAAACAGCGCCGAAATCCTTGTTCTTGGCCCCCACATCATGTACCAGGATTTGAGTACGCGCCATGATTGGTCTGTTAAAAAAGCCAATCAGCTTGAAGGGAAATTCAAAACGCATTTCCCGGTAATTCGTTGTGTCCGTTACTTACCTGGAATAGATTACGCCTGCGACGAGGCTCTGAGATCAGAGCTACAATTAACATTCCGTCATCGGAAAATGTGCGACGAAGTCTTAACTGTGGTCACATATGATGCCCGGACAAAGTTAATCCTTGTCTGAGAAAACAGCCAACACTTTGTACGCTACCACTGGTTTCCTCGGGAAATGAAGTACAAGGAACTTGCGAAGAAATTTCATTCTGATGATGTGTCACTACCCAAATCTTGGCCTTGCTTCTGATTGGTTGTTGCTTCCTTTAGCCAATCAGTAGCGCTACCCAGATCTTGATAGTGACGCATCATCAGTAAGGAATTTCAGCGCTCGTTTCTCAGACGTCATTTCGCGGGGGAACCAGTGGTAGCGCGCCAAATGCCCGCTGTTTTCGCGGGCAAAGTTTATCCCAGAGACTGTGGTTCAGATGATTTAAATTTACCTTGAGTGCCTGTTGATTGTCGTAGCAACAAAATAAAATTGTAACAGCGAATACATGGCGGTGGTCAGTCTACATGTGGATGCCGTGGTTACTATGCACAATTTTCGTTAAAGGTACATAATGCGTCTTTGTCTGAGTTCTATCAATTTTGTTTTGACCCACCAAATAGGCCAAAATTGGTATATTAAAATTCAGCGCGATAGCGGCTCTTAGAGGACAGTCTGATAGAAAATGAATTAACCATGTCTATTCAATTTCTTTGTTTGTGACCTCTAAAGTGTCTTTTTGGAGACTTAGCTGGAGGGGAAAAAACTGAATGGTACTGATTTTTGAAAGTTTTTTAACGTAAATTCTTTTATTTGTAGATGCTTGGTCGACTTTGTCTTGATGTTATTCAGATTCTCAGGCCTTTGTATGCGACCAAAAAGAGTGGGTAAGTCAAGAAAACAAAAATGTTACTAAGGTTATAGCTAATAATCATGAAGTAATCGTGTTACGTGCCTTGCAGTAAGAAAGCAAAATACCCTGACTTCATTTCAGTTTGTGCGAACTTGAAATTCTCCATGATAGTGTAATGGGTACAAGCTTTCAGAGCAACCGCCATCGATTTGCGGGATCGTTTGGGTGGACAAGCGTTACTTATAATTGGTTAATGGTTGCCTTGAATACTAGCGACCAATCATAACTGACGCTTGTCCACCCAAGCGATCCCAGAAATCACCGCACCGCATTTACCCATTCTCCTCAGTGTATCTATAGTCATGGAAAATGGAATTCTACCCTTATGGTAAGAAATTACCCTTAAGGTAGAAATTGCTAAAATCAGAACGACTCAAAACAATAATATGAGGTACAAGTAGCATTAACCGCTTGGCGAATAAAAGTCTAGATTCCTTAAATATTGACGATATGGAAGAATTTGTTTGTCAGATTTTTCTTTGTGTTTAGTGTTCAAGGAGGGACGGTACCGGGTTGAGCCCCCAATCTTTCAGAAAATGTGTTAGCCTGAGAAAAGGGCCGACGTTTCGCGACGCGACCACTGAATTCCCTAGGAAATGACGTCTGAAGAACGAGCGCAGAAATTCTATACTGATAACGTTTCACTACCGTGATCTGGGTAGTGCTTCTGATTGGTCGTGCAGCGATAAAAATTTGCTTCAACCAGTCATGACCTCTAGCGGGATCTAGGTAGTGACATGTCATTAGTATGAATTTCTGTAGTCGTTCTTCAGATGTCGTTTTGTGGGGAAAAGGTGGTGAAGTCGTAAAATGAAATAAAATGGTTGGGTTGTAAGGTTTATTTCTTTGTCTTGTTTTGTTTTGTTTTGTTTTGTTTCTCTTCTTCTTCTTTTTTTTTTTTTTTTTTAGGGGGGGGGGGGGGGAATACCTTAAGACACTCTAAATTGTTCTGGTAGTAAGTAATCAAATGTCTGTTAGCTGGCAGCTATGGCTCCGTTGGCAGGTAGACAGCCAATTCTTATTATTTTTTTTATCAGGGATGACGGTGGCGAAGACGCAGAGACAGCATACTTTGCTAATGTGTGTGGTTTTGTCAAAGCTGTTTTTAGACTGGTAAGTTGGCACTTGATCCTGTAGTATGGAATCGAAACGTAACCGTTTGCCGTAATGCAAATATCTTCGAAATGCTTTGTGTCGCTACAACCACTTGCAAAAATGTTGAGACACTCCCACGGAAAAACGACCTTTCTTGCTTCAAGTCGCTCCTGGTCACAGGTCTGTAAGATATAATACGGACCTCCCTCCTCCCTCCCATTCAAAGTTGTTCCTCCAAGTTTTGAGTATGGTCTTGTATTGCTAGCAACTTTGATAAGGGGTGGAGGGGGGATCACAAGCACAAGATCATGGACAGGCCATTTATGCCAAAATACGGTACAGTGTCTCAAGTACTTTTGCAACTGGTTGTAGCATTCATTTAAATTCGACCAATTTAGTAAAATTTGTTTTGCCTCTCCGCGTAGAAGTACTTTTCATGCTCCTTAAGCAAAAATACGCACACGGCTAGACCGCTGTTGAAAGATTGTGATAAAATGTGAGAAGTTGCGATATATTAATAATGAATCAATTTACTTGCACGTAGCGATATGGTTTGTGTTTATCTGTTTGCAGCTTGAGCAAAACATCAAGGGTTATGTAAAAAATCTGTCCGAGGTGTTCTGGTTCATCAATCAGTTTGCTGCTTTGGGCAAAGAGGAGGTAAATAAAAACAAGATGAGGGCACTAAAAATAGAATAAGGCACTTATGTGCCAATGTGTTGTATTTCCTATTACATCTTTGCTAAGGTTATATTTTGTGGACAATTTCATGTATAAATTGTAAAGAAATAGTTGATTTGTATGTTGCCGGATTTTAATAAGGGTATATCTGACTGTCATTGTTACCGCCGTCATCATTATTATAATAGACTTTAAGATCGAGGTTTAGCCATCTTCCCGTAAACTGAAAACCGCGGTTTGCGGTTAGCGGTCTCACGTTAACCGTCTGCCCATATTTTGGGTACTTAGGATTTTGGGGATGGTAGCTCGCGGCTACCATATTTTCATTCATTCGTTCACTTCTATTTTAGCTGAGAAGATGTCTTCAAAATTACATTTCTATCAGAAATAGCTCAATAATTAATTAGGAGGAAAAATTCAATTGTGGGATTGTGATGTTTTAGGGTGCCCAAAACCTTGTGGAAAGTTTACCTGTAGAGCATGGTCTAGCCATACAAACGTGAACCTCAAACCTGACGACAAGTGGTCACGTGACTTCTTGACGTTCGCGGTTCGCGGTGATCATAATCATGTTCGTCTTTATCGTCTTTGCATGTGTCGTCATCATCATAATCAACATCGTCGTTATAGTCAACTATATCCTCAATGAGTCATCTTCATTATTATCATTGATCATCTTCACCATTTATAATCATCATCATCACACTAATCAAAATAAGTATCTTTTAGTATAAGTATCGTTTTCGCCATCTGTTTTTAATTACTGTTGGCTAATTATCAGATTACTATGTCATTGCCTCTTAGCGTGAATTTCTGTTAAAAATGGATGCAATATCAGTGATGGTCGGATTCTATCTGGGAACAAAAGCATCTGAACTTGTAAGTACATACATGTATGCATGTAATGCAAATTTTTCCTTCTAGTGTTAAACTTTTTTGTGTACAACTGGCCGCAGTGAATGGCGTAAACATTTAATTTAAACAGGAAAGAAGACCTTCATATCTTCAAACAACCGGGTTATACGGTATTTTAAAGTACTTTCTGGATGCTGTTCAATGGGTTACGAACCTCTTCTTTTCATTTATTAGACTATTCTATAGATTGCTGAGGAATTGTTCACAATTTGCGTTAACATCTTTGTATTATAGTCAGTACTGTAATTTGATGCCATTATGTAGCGTTTAGAATCGCGTAATTTCATCATTTTTGTGAAAAGAGCAGTAAAAATCATTAAATTACAAGAAAGAAAATCTTCGTGTTACGATGCCCTTTGTTGTTGTAAAAAAGAATAATTACATTGTCGTATGATTCTCTTACTGGGACAGTTTCTTAGACTTTCCCCTTTTTCCTATGGTTGTCCCTTGGGCTGTGTATTGTTATTCACATTTGTTATAACCTGTACTGGTACAGAATGACTCTGCAACAGAAGATGATGACGAAGGTGATGACGATGATGACGAAGAAGTGGTCACTATTCTGCCGGAGGATAAATACCGCGTGGGTTCCTTGGAGAAGATGATCTCGGTCATGGCGGTGTTGGTTGAGGAATCGCGATGTGAAAGGTGTGTACAGCTACCTTAGCTGACTATTCTGTCGTTTCGGTAGGGTAGTGAAACTTCGCCAGTTGCAAAAAAGCTCAAGACACTTAGATTAGACACTTAGGATCATAGATGCGGTGTGTCATGCATCGTATGATTTATATTCCTTAGCCTTGTTGTGAGCTCTATTGATTCCCATATCGTATTCAGCACTTAGAGCGACAGTTTCTAACGGTGGAAGGGGGGGTAATTCCCTTGTTTTCGATTTCTTCCTCCGAGGTGTAGTGAAGTAATTAAAGTGCTGTGGCTGCTTTTATTGTTTGTTTGCTTTTTTCAACAAGTATGGCAACCTTTTTGCAGCTTCTTGCTGCTTGTGGTCGAGGGACGCCCCCCAAAAAAAAAAAAAAAATTGCCTCGAGTATGAACATTTTCCTTCAGGAATCTTTCTCCTTGTGTAGGGATATATGCCATGATTCTGGAACAAGGATATTCAAAACGATAACAACACATTTTGTGTTAGGAACAAGGGGCGCAAGTGGTTTATGATTTTAACCGCAGATTTTAGTGACGTATTACTTTTCATTTTCATTATTCTTCTGTCATGTAGGCGAATCTTTGCTGACGTCATTGTTTACATTATTCCTCATTAGCATACGACTTAACTCATAAAAGTCTTGGCCGTATATACAAACTAAATCAAAAGTTGAAAGAGCAGATTAACTTGAGCTGTTTATGCAATTTTCAGCTCTTTGCAAGCGATATTGAAGGAAATATCAGCCTCCGAAAATTTCGAAATGGCTGGGTGGCCAAAAAGTTAATGAGCCTTACGTTCTTTGTAAAATTTCGAGTTTTTGAAAGAGAATTTCTTCGAAACCATTCGGTACATCGGGCTCAAATTTTTAGAGAAAACTATTCAGAGGTTTTATTTTGTTAGCCTTATCGGATAATGATGAGCATATGTTAACGAGGCCAAAAATGTAAACAAAGATTCGCCTCTAACAAAACTTACATCACCATTTATAGAACATACCGTATATATTAAATTCACAGAACACCACTTACACTATATCTCTTTTTGCACCATTGGAAAGATCTGTAACTTTGAAATCAGGTTATTTGAAATAGGTCTGTTGCCCCGACGCCCCCCAAAATGGGAGAGAATGAATGCTAAAACCAGTTCATGACTGTTTGACTTTTTAGAAACCGATTTTAGCTTAGTGCTGACTAATGTAACTGATTAATTTTCTTTGGTTTGCCAGACAACTTCACCTGTCAGAAAATGATTTAGCTGCACTTACTGGTGGAAAGGTAATTGTTGAGCGTCGTGTGTTTTGTCGAACCTCTTTCGGTTTTGTTTTTCACTCTTTAATTTATAGGTCTAGCCAAGGCCTAAAAAGCGAAGCTCTCCAGTGATCTTAAAAGAAATGCCTTGCTCGAGTAATTCAACTTTTGCCTTAAGTAAAAAGCGAACCGAATTCCACCTTTAAAACATGGACCTGAACCCGCGATCAATTGAAAACTAAAAGCTGGTCAGCTGATAACTTTAAAAATGCGTCACCTCAATGAGTTGTATACCTGAGCTGCCGATACATTCATGTGACACTGGTTAGCGGGATACCTTTTTTGCAGTTCTCAATTGACCATAACATTGATGTCCAATAACAAGTTAAACATGAAAAGTATGCAGTATGTCTTGGACTTCCAGCTAGCAAGTGTGCCATTTCACATCCGCTAATATGAATGTGTGGACGTACGTACGGACGATTTTGTAAGAACCAAAATTCTTGGATGCATAGGGAACCAAATTTTTTTTATCAGTGGTGCTCCGCTGCGCGCGCGAGAGAGCTCCACTATTAGTGCACTTGATGAATTAATTTTTACTTGCAGGGATTTCCATTCCTTTTCCAAGCCATAAAAGACAGCATCAACCTGCGCCACACAACGAACTTGATCTTCAGCCTGTGTCGATACAATGTCAAGCTCGCGGAAAATGTGAGTCAAAATTACTAATGTTTCGGTACTCTTCCCACAAACAGATAAAAAGGGACAGACTTAAAACGAATGTGCTACCACGGTCGTAACTGTTTATTAGAAGGTGGCCTAAAATACGTACAGGAGGTCCTCTCCGAGTAGCCCCGAGCCTCTGTTTCAAGATTAGGCTAAGTGCGAATGCAGTAATGTGAAAATGATTTTTCTTTTTATTCTCATGCAAATATCACTCATTTTCACAAGAAAGCTTTTGCTCTCTGCATCTTTTTGAAAATGAGAGTTTTTGGAACTCGGTAATAACCTATTTCGCGATTGGTTTCGGCTCCATGAAATACTGTACCGATTGCAGAACATTTGCTGAAGAGCCTCCTAGAATGTGAGCACAGATGCAGAAAGGACAGAAAATTTATTGTGAAAACTTTTAGGTAAAAAAGGCAATATTGCAGAAATCTGCTTTGCAGTTGCTTAAATTGCAGGTGCTTTATAACATAATTCTTTTGGTATGACATATTTCTTTCAACGAATGTCTTTCGTAGAAAGTGAAAAAAAAAATAAATCCACCTATACTTGTAATCTTTGTTCAGAAATTTTGTCACTAGAATCTTCTCTTGGAAATCTTAAACCTCTTCTTAAGAGAGCTTTAGCTTAACGTGAGTGTTTGTTTCAGATTATTTCCCTGTTGATGTCTTCTGTTCAGAAATTGCCACCAGAGGTAAGGAAGATGTTGCTTCTAGCCTTTTTAATGCATTTTAATGCAATTTGAAGGAGTAAACAGCAAAGAGCGCCATCACTGCCAGTGGTCAGTGGTTTGGCATGAAGGCGTGTGCGCAGTAGTTCGCTACATCGTTCACAAGGCAGACTTCTTTTAGGAGAAATAAGAGACTGCCTATCATTTAATACGTTGATTGTGTCTCAAGTTAAGCTTAAGGAATGCATGTTCATAAAATGGTAGAAACCCGACCTCAACCAGCAGGTGAAACACGTAAACCTGACTTTCTTCTTGTAAGTTCCTTAACGTCGCTAATTTAAACTTCTAAGTACACAATATTGTAAACGCAATATAACGAACTTTGTAACATCGCTCGCGATTTAAATTCAACGGTGAATTCACAATATGTAACTCTGAAGATGTCGGATGTACCGTCGAAACGTGTCTAGTAAATTAAGGAAGGTTTTGTTTATGCGGCTGTCTTGTAATGATGATGGTGATGATGATGATGATGATGATTACATTACTTTGGTGTCAACGTAACAATCACGTGTTTGCTTACACTTATTTATTGCCCCCTGCAGCAGTCGCATTCGTTCTTCAAGCTGTTGTCAATGTTGACAGAGATGCAGGGGGGTCCACCTGGAATGCCATCGTTTACTAACCTGACACTTGCTCGCATTTGGGAGGTAAGAGTTGTTACAATTACTTACCATTTCTTTTAAAAAATCTCGCTCAGTTGTTTCTGTTTTAACATAACACCTGTACATTTATTAGCACTATACAAAAGCAAAGGATTATTTCACTTGTTTTCCCTACCTACTGTCTCTTTCTTCTTCCCCAGTGTCGAGTATCTATATGTTTGTAAATAGGTATTACAGTGTAAATCAGTATTGCAGACGGGATAAGGTTGCAAGTTGGTCAGGAATGTCACTTAGATTTCAAGTCCCGATTTTATGCAATTAGTAGATGGGGAATTCAAACGTTAGGTTGTTCTTCTGGTTTTCTTTTCCTATCCTTTTCTAGTAAAGTAGCCAGGGAAAATCCCCGGTCCCCTGCCGATAGTGTCAGCTCTGTTAAGTATTGTAGGTCTCCAAAGGAAATAGGCCTTAGCAGCTTCACCGATATGATACTCACAGTATCACCAACAGCACCATAGGAGTGTTTTACTACGTAGTTTTCATTTGAACGATCACAATAACACAGATGAATGAAAGGTGATGGCTATCATATGATTGCCCATCTCTTGCTAGTCCCAAAATCAATTGCTGAACCCGTAGATGCTTAATATACTGAAACGATTATTTTCATGCGTTGGAAACACGGTAAGAGTAGATAGGGACCTTAAGCAACGACGGCGGCGACGTCAACGAGAACTTCAAAAAAGCAACAGGTTTAGATTGGCCAAAAACAAACAAACAACTCTGCACCTGCATCACTCTTTTTTGTACATTTTTTTTGCCGTCACTGCACGACTACGACGTAAAATTCCACGTTTTATGGAGGACGTGAACACAAGACGACGACTTTCTTTTTCTTTTCCTGAACTTAGATACAACCTTTTACAATTCAACTCCAGAAAAAAAAAAATTGCCAACATTTGACGAATTGAAGGAGATGAGGTAGTCACGATAAATTTTGAGGAGCGCGACGTAACTTTTTAAGTGTCGTTTTCGTAGTCATCGTCTTCGTTGCTGCATAAGCTCCCTTATACTACTACATGAGAAATTTCTACAATTTGATTGGCTTAGAGCAGTGGTATTTCAGCTTAATTTGAAATACCTACGTGTGAAAATTACAAATCTTTTGCTGGTAGTAGTATAAACAAATAATAGCATGATTTGTACGTGATGTTTGGCATAAATACCACTCGTGATATTTCAAAATTGTCTCAAATTTCACTCGTTTGACGGCTCGTGAAATTACTTAGAACTTAATATCACTTGCGGTGTTTATGCCAAATATCACTACAAATCATGCTATTACCTATACTAATAATACGGAGAGAGAGCGCAAAGTCGAAATATTTCAACTTCAAACTTTTTGCTCTGTTTCCGCAGTTTTGTCATCAGTATAATGTTCGTGCCTGTTTTCTCTGTCGCAGGCTGCTGAGTACAATGCTGCTCTGTGTATTGACTGGTTGACTTGCATGGCGCCTAAAAACAGAATGGTAGGTTTTTATCCTCATTTTGACGCTGTTTTAAATGGAGCATCTAAGACAACATCCCTCGGCGTAGTTTTGGTTTTGCATTACTTCTTTTTTCATTAGTTGAAAACTCTTGTGCTAGTTGTTCAACTGAGGGGGCTTTTATTCAAAATGTCCTTGGGGGCGGGTCAATACAATTGTGGGGTTAGGTTAACTTGGGAAGCCCTGATTGGTAGAGGGGGCTATTAACTTTTTTGGAAACCCCGTAGGGTGTGATAAAATAAGTGTGAATTTAAAGGGTGGGTAGTGGATTTCCTTTACTACATGACATCGGTGGCAAACAGGAGTGGGGAGGGGGTTAAGGAAAAAATTAGAAACCCTTTCACTGGTTTTGTCTCGCCGTACCCCTCCCCTTTTTTTTATCAAAGAATTTAATACCCGCTAATCTTAAATCAATTGTGCTCGTTGGTCATGCGTTTGGCAGCGTTCACATTCATTTGCTAGAATTTTGATTAGTATCATGTGAATGCCTAATATGATTACTTATCACATGAAAACTCGTCTAACACTTTAAGGCCTCTTAGAAGTGTCAAGTAACTAATAATAATTAATTGATTGATATTTACATTCCTCGCTATGTAGGCTCATCAGTGGGTTCTGGACAACATGGATAAATGGGTTGAGAAGTACTTAATAGCGGACAACAGCATTAGAATCAGGAATGGTAGGTCATCTTAGTCTTGGATATCTTGTAGATACAACTATGCAAAGAGGTAACCGTGTTCCGATATCTTTGTTCATTGGGAGTGTATTGACAGTTTTGGGGGCGCATTTTCAACATCGCCACAAATTTGTTCAAAACAGTCCCACAATGCAGTAAATGCTCAAATGTGGGAGGTATTTGCGTGCACAACCCTTTCCCAAAAATTTCCAGTAGAAAAAATCAGTACCTGAAGACCTGACCATTGCTTGTGGATTTTGTTTTTGTATTCCTTCAGCCTCAGCGTATTTGCTTGTGAGTCTTGTTCCCAACAATCACTTCAGACAGGGGTTCAGGTGAGTGCCTGTGTCAGATTCCTTCCTTTGATGTACATTCAAATGCATTTTGTTGGGCTGCTGTTTACTTCCTCCATAAAACGTGAAATTAGGAAATTTCACTTCGTAGTCGTGCAGTGACGATAGTGAAATGTACTAAAAGTGGGATGCACGTGCAAAGTTGTTGTTTTGTGTATCAAACCTATAGTTTGTTGTTGTTATTATTATTTTGACGTTCTCGTTGCCGTTGCTGTGGGGGTTGCTTAGGCGCCCTACTTTAATATGTATCAGTGTCAGTTTTATCCAGGTTTCTGATTTTGTTGGTCAGTAGTATCCGAGTTAAATTGTCGTTTACTCGTAATAAATTCTAAATACACTTTTCCTATATCGGCCATTAAAGCCGAGCTTTCTTCCTGTAAGTACAATCACAGATTTCTGGTGTCATTTTAGGGAATTCAAGCAAAGGCGTTTTTGAGCAACGCACGACAACCGGAAGTGGCCTTTTTACATTCCTGTGCAGTGGTTTTGCCGAAATTTTCAGTTAAATCGTCTCTACAAGTGTAAAGAAACCAAGCAATACAAATTGTATAGCGTCAAGGCATATTAAAGGGGAAAAAATCAACACTTCCGGTTGACATGTGTTTGTCTCAAAAATGTCTTTGCTTAAGTTCGCTTTTAACTACAATTCGTTTCTTTAGATACGAGAAAGAAAACTGGGTCGAGTTTAACCTTCGCAAAGACTTCTGGGACTGTTGCTAGGGACAGAAAAAAAGTATGACCAACAGCTGGTCGGCGCTTCCCTAGTTACCGTCCCAGAAACATTTGCGGGACACATTTCGACCCCTTTCCCCTTCTCGTTTCTAAAGTAGCGAATGTAACCGCTGGTTGTACTTTTTTTCCCCCCCTCAGGTCAAGAAACTTTTCTGCGCCTCACAAAGAACTGATGGTAACTAGTGCAGCTCTTTTCATTTAACCCTCAAGGCGATGTTGCACCGAAGGATTTGCAACGACTTTGTCCGCACAACACAACGTTGCAACGCTGTTGCAATATTGTTTCGAACTGTAACAACATTGTTTCGGCATTGTTGCCCTAAAAATCGTCGTTGCAAATCGTCTCGTGTAACATCAACTTGACACTTTTGAGAGCACCTATAATAAATAAACCCTTTCATTCCTATCTTATGGTGAGATTACCTGTCACTCCAACTTTAACATCTGTGAACGAAAGCCTATGGTAGTACTTTTGAACTGAAACCTCTTTTGCAGAACTTTTTCATAGTGCCATTTGATTTCTTCGGACTTGAGGAAAAGGGAATTTGAATTTCGGGGGTGGGGTGGGAGGGGTTGTCTCTGCTCAGCTCGAGATTTACATTCTGGTGCTCTCCTGACATCCGGGGTACAGCGTAGTATTAAAACCATCAGAAAGTTAATTCCTCCGCGCCACAGTTAGTACCACTTGGCATCTGTCATTAGTACCACTTGGCATCTGTCATTGGTGTAATCACGATGGTAAAGCCATCGAGCGCGAAAATCGTGGAAGCAATGTCTATGCCGTCTATACATTGAAACATTAAAGAGTCTTTCAGTGAGAGTCTTATCTTTTGTATTTCAGCTAAGCAAGGATGCTCTTTCTATACTTCACGAGGTACGGTGCAAAACGTTTCTGGTAGAATGTGTTTTCGTTCTTGCTCTGTTACACTTTCGTCGGTTAATTATCAGTTTATTGTTTGTTGTTTTGTATTGTTTAACAGATTTTCAAAACGCTGCTAACGTTGCTTGGAAGGGCAAGAAAATACTGCGGTATGTGAAATACGGACGGAATTTAAATTGCTTTGAGTTTCTGACCCACTATCGTCTAGGTCTGAAAATGTTAGCTTAAACAACTGAAAATCATTTAGATCACCCGTCGACTACTATTTTTACAACAACAATAAAATTGTGGGAATTGCTTGTCTTTTACGTATCCCTAATGTGTTAAATTCGATCAGTGTCTATAGATTAGTGTTTGTAGGGAGTTGATTATGACACGTTAAACAGTCATACCACTCTTCGAGTTTTAGATAGAAAGGAATTTGAGCGTACTGCCTTTTGTTGGATGGAAGTCGAAAAAAACAAACACAAAATCTTTCAGCCATGGGAGATTACTTAAGACTAAGAGCTCCTTTATTCATGTAAATTAATGATTTTATTTTGGCAGTTAGCTTTGTTTCTTTGTCGTGTGTGCGACCGCAGTTAAGAAAATGACTATGAGATTCTGGGAAACCACCCAGATTTTACCAAAAAGAGAAGCTGGTGTTAATTCACCTTTTTCACATAAACCATACATACATACCACTATCTTCGATTTTTCTTGGGACGACTGTAATACCCAGGAGAAATTGGAAACAGTGGTTTTGCAAAATTTTGGGGGTGCATTATGGGTTATATGAAAATAGTGAATGTTGGATTAGGGGAGGGGTGGTTGGCAGTTTGCCAGAGTTATATACTGATTCATTTTGTTATTTTCTACCAACCTACCCCTCCGCCAACCCCACATTTTGCGCAAAGTGAGAGTTACTCTTGGATTAGGGGAGGGGTAGGGGGGAGTTTGCCAGAACCTTATACCTTATCAATCTGTTACCTACCTACCTACCTACCTACCTACCCCTCCCCTAACCCAATGTTTTGTCCTAAGGGAGAAGCTGGTGTTTATGTTAGATTAGATGAGAGGCAGGTGGGCAGTTTGTCAGAATGTTAGACTGATTCATTTTTTTCTCTCACTCTCTCTGTTGTAGATCGTAATATTCATGGTACAACAAAGCTTGTCAGCTATTTTGCTGTGTTGAACTACTGCCTGCTTTCGCGCACTGAAAAAGAAATGGTATGCTGACTTTTGCTATTTATTTTAGGCACTTTTGCCCTCATTTCAAAAATAATATTTTTATATGTCCCTTTGCATAAACACCATTAAATCGTGGGTTACAATTTTAGGTACATTCATTGATTTTATAAAGGGAACCTTAGACAGTTCTGCCATCATTACGTCATTTGAAATTTACCAAAAAGCCTGATTCACGTGCAGAGTTGTTCGTTTGCTTGTTGAACCTATTGCCTTTTTAACGTTCCTGTTGCCGTCGCTGTCGCCGTCGCCGTTGTAGTTTCTAAGTATCCCTAACAAAGACGGTGTGGTTATCACAGACAGGAAAACTTTACAAATGAGAATATCACTGCAAACACGCGATTGAGGCTGCGAAGTGCCATGCAAGTCACATAACAGAATCTTTACTACAGGTTTCTAGTAAGATCTAATAAGGGCACGTGGTTAGCAAAACGTTTCGCGCGGGAAGCGCGAGCGAACTGCCAACATCAGTACTACGAATTTTGGCACAATGGCAAGAGAAAGATAGGGAGAGAGAGAGGAAAGGGCGAAGGTTGACCTTGGCGACGTTTTCATGAGTCAGCTATGAGCAATAGAAACGTGTAATTCATGTATTTATACTACTACAGGAGAAATTTCTGCAATTTGATTGGCTTAGAGCAGTGGTATTTCAGCTTAATTTGAAATACCTACATGTGAAAATTACAAACCTTTTGCGGGTAGTAGTATAAACAAATAATAGCAGGATTTGTACGTGATATTTGGCATAAATACCACTCGTGATATTTCAAAATTGTCTCAAATTTCACTCGCCTAACGGCTCGTGAAATTACGTATAACAATTTTGAAATATCACTCGTGGTATTTATGCCAAATATCACTACAAATCATGCTATTACCTATACTAATAAAATAAAGTAATTACATTGGATGAACGTTCCTTTGAGTTTGAACTTGATTCCTTGTTACTGTTGTCTTTAGTTCACGCCTTACTGTGCGGAGTTATGGCGTTTGTTTCACCCGCTCATGTCAGAGCCAAACATTGCTGTACATCCAAACAAACAGGTATGTAATTCCATTTATACTCAAGTTAATTACTATTAAGCTGCTGTGACACAGTTTAGATAGATAATTTATTTAGATAATTTATTTAATGTCAGATACACAAGGGGTGGTCTCCCAATCCCCCGAGCCACAGGCTCATGATAGCAAACCTCTCCAGGGTGCTGATTTAGAGGGGCTATTGAGGCTTCGGCACTTTCTGGGTTCATTTGGGAAAAGAGTGGAAGTACTGATATGCTACTGGTTGGCTTACCCATCTATCAGCCAATCACAAATGACGCTTGCGCACCCTAGAGAATAGACTTGCTACAAGTCGACCTCTCATAGGTTCTTAAAAGCGAGAGAAGCGAGCTTCAATGCAAGAGGTCGCTTGCGACCGAGCGAGCGACGAAGTCTTGAGGTCGACTTGTTTCGCCTGAATGAATCTGAATCATATTATAAGTTAAAAAAATTATTGGCATATGCTGTTTCGGGAGCGGCGTGAAATATCCCACACCATCTTATTAGTCAACTGTCATGACGTCACCGGTAGAATTTTGGACCGGTAAATTTCGCGGCAAACAGGTAGGAAAGTCCTTTAAGATTTCCTAGCCAACCAGCGAAAAAAAAATAAAAGGACTTTTAGAAAGTCTACCAAAGGATCTCAGAAGCTGTTGTATCAAAAGCTTGTTCCCATTCTCCATGTACATTTGAGAATGCTGAATTGTTTTCTCTCTGTTCTATTAAATTGCGGTATTAACAAAACCGTAACGGTCCCTTAATTACAGGGTTGTCACTAAGATTTCAAGTTGCCGGGTAAATGCAACAAGTAGGCGGGGAATCAAACGGCTAGGAATTTCTTTTGGTTCTATTTTTCTTCTATTTTCCAATAAAAGTAGCCGGGGGCCACTCTCTTAGTAGCCGGGGAAAATCCCCGGCCCCCGGCTCTTAATGACAACCCTGCAGTTAATCTTCTCTTTATTATTTGTTTTAAGTAAAATCTCTTATTATTCAGTTTAGCAATCACGATACAAAATTACTATATGAAAGATATTTCTTGTCAGGCTGTCTGTCATTTTAAACAAAAAGGAGTAGAAAACTAAGTTGTACAAGTTGAATGTTACTTGCTAAACACGCGACGATATCTCAGTAAACCTACTGTTACTGCTTACTGGTGTGGCTAATTTTTTTCCCAAAGAGATCACCTCTGCTAAATGCCCATGAATAGCCGTTTAAAGTTGTAGGTTAAATTGTAAGGCATTATTTTTTTTCTTTTCTTTAGGCCCTGTTGATCTTTTGGTTTCACTCTTGCATTGGCTGTGAGGAAAATATCGACTTTATTACGGAAAATAACCACGTTGCCACCAACATTCCGCTCAACTACATTCTGTGAGTTGCCCTCTTAATTAATTCTGTGTATCCATTGTTCAAGTGCTTTGTTTATGTAACTCGTGATGGGTCCTTCAACATCCCTCGTGATAGTTTGTCTAGCAAAACCTGCCGGCACATAATGATGGCGTGGAGAGGTCTAAAACAACTTTCAGCCCAAAACTTTATTCATCTCGATTTTTTTCCCTTGCTTTGTGGATCAACGATTTTTTATAATGTAGATGGACTTTGCTTTCTTTAAGTTGTTACCGACTTTTTACCCTGGTCATTTGAAACGTGGAAAAATTAATTGAATTTAGATATGCGACTGGACCAGTTTGGTCCAACCGAAATAGTGCTCTCCTACTTTGTAGACGGAAAATTCTTGTTTGGAATCAATTGGTATGCGTTTTTCCACTAGTAAAGTTTTATGAACTCGTCGATTTGTGGACTTTTATTTTAATTGCATTTGTGTTGTTATATGTTTTTCATTAATTTGACCCTTGTTTTCGCTCATGCAGCCCTTTAATTAAATCTGCATTCATCTAAACGCAGTCATTACATTGTAACTATTTTGTTAACTATGTTTTATTTTTTCAGCTCTAGTGACGAACCGGAAGTACTGACGTTTAACAGGAATGTTCTACCTGCGTATTATGGTCTACTGCGGTTGTGCTGTGAGCACTCTCCTTCGTTCACACGCCAGCTCTCCACTCATTCCAACATGAAGTGGGCTTTTGAGAATCTCACCACTCGCATGAACCAGTACCCACAGGTATCTAACTCACTTAAATTCTGAGTTTAATCCTTTAAGCCCCAATATCAACATAAGAATTCTCCAAACTGATCTTCATACATTTTCTTAGACTTTGTTGGGAGAATTTGATAAAGATACAAAAATTTACCTCTAATTTTTCATAACCTTTTCTGTTGATGATATCGTATTGATATCGTCAGACGAAATTTGATGTTGATCACTCTTGAAACCTAAAGGGTTGACCATTTCTTTCCCAAAATTTAACAAAAATTTTAAATTTCATCTTCGATGAACCATGCAAAGTAATGCTAGAACTACCAAAGAGGTTTCATTTGGATGGTCTCACTCTGGGATTCCATCCGCAGACTCAGAGTTAAATTTTAGTGTGAGAAGTTAGAATTTATCAGAAGTTATAAGTTATAAGTTTTTCTTTTTTTTTTTTACAACATCTTAAAAAACACCATTTGTGAAATTACTGCTAAAGACGTTTCATTTGAATGGTCGCACCATAGGATTTCTTCCACAGCCTCATAAGTTAGAAGTACATACTAAATAAATGCTGCCATGTGAAAGTGTGGAGATGATTCAAAGTTCTTTTGTTGTTTTCTTAAACACTGGATCAACTCCATCTTCGAAAGGAATTAATGTTTTTATATTTTTACCGTTACAGGCAGTGGAAGAGCTGTTTGCTCTCCTGCGGTTATTTGCTGGTGTGACATGTGACCCGTCGAGGGAGAAAACTAAAGAAGAAGAAGCGTTTGAGGCGGCCTTCAGAAAAGACACGATTGCTCTGTATCAGAGTGTACTTGACCCTGGTGCATCGTGGACCACGCTTATAAGGTATAGATACATTATCTTATATATATCGACTCTGTTGAGATTCAGTCAACTCTCTCGTAACGAACACCTCCCTAAAATGGACACTTCGAGTCGGCCCCTGACTTTCTTGCTCCTTTTAGGGCCTGTTTACATGGAGGTGTTGGACCCCAGGTAGGTTAGATAACCGGCCTGTCCATATAATCGCTCATTTTGATGTGATCACGTTCACATGATAGGTGGGGTGACCATATGAGAGATTGAATGCGCATGCGGGTTACCCCACCTACCTGCTCCCCCCACCCTACCTCTTCAATGCAAACAGGCCCTTTGTTGACTCTCTTTTAGACTGACATCTCTCTAAGACGGGAACATAGTGCCGATCCCATAGATGTCCGTTTTAGAGCGATTTGACTGTAAAAGAGAACAGATTTTAGACCAGGGATGAAATTCAATCACTGGAAATGCACAACGCCATGAACAGAGTGATTGTACAGCTAGTAACCGTTTTTTTGGTTCCCTTGTAGTGCCTACAAAATCTTGCTTCAGACAGAAGAGGACAGATTAACAGTGGTTGCCAACCAGGGACTTTTGACACTGTCAGATGTAAGACTAAATTGCACTTCAACTCTAGTCAGATGATAGTCTTTTCTTCTGATGTATTTCCCCTTCTTCGAGAAATTAAACGCGCGCAGCGCAAGTGCATCAACGCGAAGCACGAGAAAAAAAGCAAGTTTCCTGTACCCATCCCTACTTATTACTCTAGCGGCAAGTAAATTCCCGTCGATTTTTATTTCTTTACGAGCGCTCGACTTTCCGTAAAGAGAAAGGTACAAGGTCTGTGAACAGACAATTCTGTTGACTGCTCTTTTAATAGAATTATGAATAGTCACTAACGCAGGAAGCCGAAATTTGCTTGGAAAGGAAAATATACAGGGCCGGTTATTTAGATAAAGCTTTGTTCAAGCAAGTCCTTATATGAGACGTTTAGTAAACCCAATGTCAAGACTTATGAATTAGCAAAAGCAACAAAAACATTTTTCTCCTAAAAATTTCAAACCAAGAGGCAGATATACAGGTTTATTGTATTAGTTTGACAGTCGTTAGACATTTAACCGGTATTTTTGCACTTACTAGTACATGGCAAAGTCATGTGGAAGTTAAGATTCTTCCATCTTTAGATCGCAGAATGTTTTTACGTTGGAAGAATATTTCTTAGTTGGGGTAACATCATTCCGTACTGTTATATAGCTGGGAACTGTTTGCCCAACAGCACGCGCTCTCATTGGTTACTTCGAGGACACATGACATCCAACAATGGAACTCTTTCCCGCCAAAATCTCTTAGCGGGCAACATTGCAAAATCTAGGAAATCTAGGAGAATGTTGGAATGCGAGATTGTTGACCGACGACCGCCGTTACAGCGAGGTGTAATGAATTTCCAGCTATATAACAAATTACTGACTGACTGATCCCAAGGGAAACAGTTAATTTTGTTTCCCGAGGCGGGACTGTTTCCCTCGGAACCAGTCATTAAGTGTTTATTATCAAACAGGCATTCACCACCCTTCACATGATGTACCACGAGGCCACGGCCTGTCACGTAACGGGAGACCTGACAGAAGTGCTTATGATATTACATAACTTGCTGGTGTGCTGCCGGCCGCATAGCAACAGACCAGGTACAGTATACATGCCGCGTGTATCAAGCTGCAAGTGCGTTTTCGTTTGTTTGTTTTTTGTTGTTGTTGATGTTATTTTTTTCAAACAAGGTAAACTCTTAAATTATGTCCCTCTGCCTAGCCAGCGAAGCTGGTGGGATTGTTATGCCACGAGGGCCAACTCCGGATCTGGAGGTCCGGGGTTCAAGCCTCGCCCGTCGCGTTGTTTCTTTAGACAGGGAACTTTACTCCACTTTGTCTCTCTTCACCCAGGTGTATAAATGTGTACCGGCGACATACTGCTGGGCGGTAACCCTGCAATGGACTAGCATCCCGTCCAAGGGGGGAGTAGCAATACTCCTGGGCATGTTCCATGCTAAGGAAACCGGGAAGCTATCCTGCCGTTTGGGCCTTTGGCTCGTGTGCACCTTTATCAATTCTTTTTTTTTCTTACCAAACTTCCCCGTCGCCAAAAAGAAACAGCATTCCCCCCGCTTATTCCGCCAACTACACAGGCCCTCTTCTCCCCAACAGCTGTCTCTAACTCCACCAATACCTCCGACCGGTTAGCCTGCGCTTTTTCCAAGAGATTTTGTTGAAACACCAGCCCCTTCGTGCATGCTATTTAAAGCATTTGACTGATCTGGCCGGACAGTTTTGATTAAAGTGAAATCCTCATTATGACTGGAATGGTCAGGCCGGTTAGTTCTGACAAATGGAACGTGTCCTAAGAGAGCGCGCAAATGCTGTTCTCTTATCAAAGCTAAATGCTAGCGCTAGAAAACTTTAATGTTTCGTTCAGTGTGCAATTTCTATATTGTTTACGATTTATCTGTGGCTTTTTGTTGTATTTCAGATGTCCGCAATAGCCTTTCAACCTGGACCGAGAGATTGGATGTGGCACAAAAACTCCTTTCGTTGTTGAACTCTTATACCCCTAAGGAAGTGAGACAGTCTTGCCTAGGTGAGTATTTAATGTTTCCTTGACATCTAACAAACTCGCTTAATTGCCTGCCCAGTTATGAACACTGGAATATTTTGTCTTAATCCCATGATGGTGTTGACAAGAAAGCAATGATTTTGTTTCTTTGGCAGAGGTGCTGAACGCCATGTTGATCCTGTACCCGAACGACTTCTCAGAAGCGATTATTCCTATCATCCATGGCTCTCATCAGCACTGGAACAAAACGTCTCCTCCAGGTCGGTGTCCTTACTCCAAAAAGGAGACGTTTATGTCGTCTGAGTTGATTTACGTTGAGTTCCGATTGCGAGCCTTTTCGCTGTTGTTAGAAACTTAATTACTCACGCACTTTATATCTTAACTGCACGTTTAACCCCAAGAATTACCGATCAAGCGAAATTTCCAAGCTCCTGAATTTGACAGTGGAGATAACGTGAGTTCCAGTGGCAAAAAGTGGGTAGAACCCTAACCTGTGAGTAAGCTCTGTGTTTGAAAATCGTGACCACGTCGTAGTTTACGCGCGAGTTTTCCACGAGCAACCACAAGTGTCTTAAGGTCATGCGCGAGCAATCTGCGAGAGAGGCTAGTCAGAACCGTTAAGAAAACAAAGGGGGGATCAGCAGTAAGCCACACGAGGGCTGTACATTAATCAAATGTTGCCACATTATTTCAGGACTCCTCGGTCCATATTTTCCTCGTCGACACACTAAGGTGATCGTGAGCAGTAAGAGCGTCCCACGGCCAGCTGTACCTGAACTTAACATGTTCCTACATCCTTCATTCCTCGATTCACCAAAGGTAACGATCTTGGAGTAATAATTGTTTCTCGTTCAATACTCCTACATCCTTCATTCCTCGATTCACCAAAGGTAACGATCTTGAAGTATTATTTGTTTCGCGTTCGATTAACTTGCATTTCTCTACAATTGCTGAAGGCAGGCTCTGGATGTCTTGTTTTTTTCCATTCTATGTTGGGAAGGACGTGCTTTATGTCCCATAGATAACCGCTACTTCGAGCTTGTGTTATGTTAAGGCTGGTTTTCACTACCGATGGAGTCGTAATCGGAGGCGCAGAAGCTCCACGGAATCAGAATCGGAAGAATCAGAACGTTTCCATTTTCATCCGACTTCCCTTATGTCTCCGTCCCTTGTGATCTAGTGAAAACCAGATTGTTGAGTCGGAGGCAGAAGCGGACGGATAAACCATTCACATTGTTGTTATTTTCACGCATGATTGGCTTAGTTCTTCCGCTTTTCCTTGCAACTCTGACTACCTAGTTTTCGCTAGATCGTAATTGACTGAGTCGGAGGCAGAATCATGGCGCAACGCGGTAGCTTCTTTGTGCTTCGGACGGGTGCAATCACCTGTGACGTAATACAAAAGATTGGAAAGACACTGAGCAATACCCAGACTACATCACAAAAGCGAACTAACAATGGTTTCCGCAACACCAACAAACACCCCGGAACCCCAACTATACTACCAGTACGGTTTCTTAATCTTGCTATCCTCTATTTGAATCTGTTGCTTCATTACCCCTGAAAATCCCAGTGGGGTTAAGGTAATTATCATGTGTTTGTCATCAGTGTCATAAATTATTGAACTTGGTGGAGTAGGATATCTTTTCTCTTGATCTGCGATAATTGATCTCTCCGACTCTGACAAATCAAGATGCTTTCCTCAACCTCGCACAGTAATAGACCCTTCCGCGGGTTTTTGAACTTTTTACATGGACGAGTTGACGAAACTCCTTCGACACCGCTACAAAAAGCGTCTTATAACTAGTAAAGTTGCCGAGTTTGAGAGTGATTTGTTGACGTCTAACGAAGATGAACTTGGTGGAGCAGAACATCTTGATTTGATTATGTCTCTTGATCGTCGATAATTGGTCTCTTTGATTCTGACGAATCAAGATGCTTGCCTCAACCTCGCGCAATAATAGACTCCTCCACGGGTTTTCAACTTTTGAAGTCGCGAATTCTTACAGACATTTGTATCGTGTAGGGTAAGTTTGTGCTCTCCACCATACAAATCTCTGTAACAATTCGCGGCTCTGCAAAGGTATAACTTCGCTCGCTACAAATTTATCGCTTTCACTTTTGGTAAGTTCACTAATTTCAAGCGAGAAATGTCCTTTTTTCATTGGTTGTATGTTGTGTTTACAGGGAGTCGAGGAGTCCTACGACGCAGCTGTTACTGAATATTTTCAACCTTATCATTCGTTTGTGGATAAACTTCTTCGGTTTGGATTCAATCAGGATGAAGTACCCGATCATGTTATAGCTTGTAGTAAGTGCTGTTCTTACTACATGCCATCGAGAGCCATAATGGGATTATGGCTCTTGATGCCATGGCCCGTAGTTAGCACTGTAAATAATTAGGCCAATTCCCAGTTGCGCCAATCCTCTGTTTCAAAGCGAGGCTAAGTGCGCAGCTTTTGATACTAAGTACGGAGCTCTTATGAAAAAGATTCTTTGTTCTCCTGCAATTGAAACTCATTTTCAGAAGAAAGTTTTTACACTTGCTTATCCCCACATGCTTTTCCAGCAAGAAGCAGATACATATCTTACTGTATTTCTTTCAAAATATTTCTCCGCTTCTCTTTGGCTTAAATCACCCGTCAAGTTTTTCATAGTCAACTGGCGCTGACGAAATCTGCAAGAATAAGCCGGTCTCGGAGGGAGTTTTGCGCCAAAGCTGATAAATCTCTCTCCATCTCCAAAATTATTATTAACAGTTGTTCGTTGATGGCTTTTACATAGGATGAATAACCCTTAATCCCATGGATTTCTTCTATTCGCATAAATTATAAGCTGATGTTCTAATATCTTCTCTATCACACCAGGTTTTAGGTCTCACTGTGGACGCAACTGTCCCAGCCATCTCAGTTCAGTCCTCTTTTTAAAACATGTTATATTGCGTTCGTGTTTTAGGCTGCCTTCTAGCTGTAGAGGCCATTTCGCTTCACTTCACGTACTTTAGCAAGCTCTGGATGGAAGTGTACCAGAAGGCTGGTGAAGTAAGTCGTGTGTTTTGTTCTAAATGAATGGTTACTCGGCGGGAATGGCGTTAAGTGGCGGGAATGTCAAAAGCTGGGATGAACTTTTGTTCAATTTTCCATTGTATTTTTCTCATATTAGCAGGGAGAAATCATCGGCCCGGGACCCCGGCCCTTGCTTCTATTTTCCATTGTTTCCGTTGTGAAAGTAGCCACGGGGTCTTGCTCATATTAACAGGGAGAAATCATCGGCCTCGGACCCCAGCCCTTAAATGAGAGCCCTGCTGCTTACTTTTGGTTCTATTTTCCTGTGTTCCCTAAGAAAGTAGCCAGGAGGTCATGTTCATATAAGCCGGCGGAAATTCCCGGCCCCCGACCCTTAATGACAGCCGTGCAGTGCTTACAGGTGCAACTTTTTCTTTGCAGAATACAAAATACAGCAGTTGTATAAAGCATCTGTGTCAGCAGCCGGAATTCTTAGAGGTAAGATGAAGGAATGATCAGTACGTGAAGTGACGTTTGAGGAGTGACCTTTGCAAATTTAGTTCGCTAGAACCAGCCGTGTTACAGGAAAACACCTTTCTTGCTTCAGTGAACCTCAACGGAAACATTTTTTATTTTGCAAGAGAGTTCCCCAACCCACTTTTCTCCTTTAAAGTTGTCATTGCAAGTTTTGAGTACGATCTTGCAATCCCTATAATTTGGACGACGAGAGAGAGGGGCATAAATCACGTGACGTCCTATGAGAAGGTCCAGTGCCTCGAGTCTTTTTGCAACTGGATGTAGCATATGACCGAACAGTTTTTTACCTTTACAATAGAGCGTTTTCACTCACTTGGCCAAGAAAAAGGTTCCACTCCCGTAGGATTGGTTTGGACACCAACATGGCCGCTATTTCATTGTTTTGGGACACCAATATGGCGGACGTTAGGTCACGGGAAAATGCTCTACATGCACATGTTAATGTACTTCTCAAAACTGTTGACTTGGAGTTTTGCTTGACAATTATTAGGACGTCCAGTTTTGAAGAAGGGTTGTCAAGGAGAACTTGCTAGTAAAACTGTACACTTTTCACAAAGTTTACATATACTTGAACGTAATTTGCTAAGGGAGCGACAGTCCTTCGCGAAGCGCTTTGACACTCGCGTAAGTTTTCGCTTTCATCAAATACAAAACGAGAAAATACATTTCTGTGAAAAGTCTATTGCAAACGAGGCCTAAGGTCCCTGCTTCTCCACCAAAATCGTTTTAAGTCTCTCAGAGCCTTTGTTAATATAACCTGATAAACAGATAGTCCAGTGTTCTTGTTGTACGATTGAGTCCCGTTGTCTATTCAGTACATAGAACTGATCTTACTAGATGAACGGGAAAGTCTGAATGTGCGGGATATCTACTCCTTCCTTTGCTGTTTCTTTCCGAGGGTAAGCATAATGCATTTTCACTTTAGCATCAGGAATAGGTTGCTCATGTTACCATGTTACCTGCTTTCGTTTATCATAATTTATTGATAATCTATTTATTGATCACCGAAAATATGTTCAGTGATTTTCACGTGCAACCTTTACGAACTCTTCATTGTTTATTTGACCAATCACATGGCACTCTTAACTTGCATTCCCATGTGCTTCGTCACTCTGTTTTTTCTTCACGGCCAAGCACAATGTCTTGAAGTTTTCTTTTCAAATTCCCTCCCCTCCAACCCTTCGCTTTGTTTTATTTTATTTTAGTGGACATAGGACTTGCGAAACCTTAATTAAGTGCCATGTTGTCAAGTAGTAATCATTTTATGTATATAACTTATTAATTAGTTAAACAGTATTATTTTAAGCAACTTATCTATAGTCATAATCAATTTCTGCGTCAACACTTTGATGTCCTTTTCAGTTAAGCGTTTCAACTCGAGGCAATGATATGACATCTATTTAGTTACTTCTTACACTTCTCCTCTGAAATTAGTAGTGTATTTTCAATAAAAATTGGGAATGGGGATGAAGTGCTCCTCTCGTCACACTTTTCAGACTTTTGCCCCCATAGACTCGACATTTTGTACTCCTGGGATGTACATATAGGTTAGTGGGGGCCCTAGGGAGGCCCACGATTGGTCACAGCCGACCCTGAGGGGAGGACTAACTCCCTCCCCTATATCGGTCTGTGCATATTTACCCAGGAACGGTCACAGTCGGCCCTGGGAGGAGGCCCAACTCCCTCCTCCATACCGTCGGTGTACCACCCTGGTGGTAGGTTTTCTTTAGCTCACAAAAATCCAGGAGTACATGGGGCTGACCTTTTAAGTTTCAGTGGGGCACTTTGTCACCCACTTCCCCTTTTAGAGCCACATCAAGTTGTTGTTTGTTTTGTTGCTGTTCAGTATAATAATTTTGGGTCCCCAAACATGAGGAAGTTTATTAACTGAAGAGTAATCAGTTCAGGTTGCGGTTTTCAAACCTTTTGTTCTCCTTCCCTTTGCCTCCCTCACAGGTGTCTAAGCAGGTGTTGGTAAATCAGTGGACTAACTTAGTCACGACACTTGTAACGACAGTAATTGCCGACAGACCTGCAGCGGAGAAGGCGAGTGACGCGGATCTGTGTGTTATAGCCAAGAGACTTACTGCGGTAAGTTGTTCGGATAGATTGGTTTTAACCTGAAACTTCAGTGCCTAAATGCTCTCAATCTGGCCTCTCAATCTGGATAGCGCTATTGGCCTGCCTCGTTGATCAGGTGGTTAGAGCGCTGGTACATCTACTTCTGTGCACTACTTATCCCTTACTCAGTACTTAAATTGCTCTTATGGCTGTGTCTATGGTTGAATCTCAATGTAATAATAATAATAGTAATAATAACTCCGTTATTTACCCTCGGCACTATTTATAGCTTAATGCTAGTGGGGCCGAGCAAATGCCTGAAGCAAATAATCTGAACCAAACTTAACAGGGTTAAGAATCCCAGCTGGCCGGAGGCAAACCAGCTGGTTAATTGCAAAAGTGGCCGAGAATTTGAACTCGGGACTACCATGAACAAACCCAGTTAGCAGTTGGAGCGGGACTTGAACTCGGTGCCTCCGAATTGCAAGTCCAGCGCTCTAACCACTCGGACACGCTGCCTCCCATACTTCAGCGTGCTCTTTCAAACAAAGCCTAATGAGAAGTACTTTCACACAACAGGAGGTGTTTTTCAGTATTACTATAGAAACGTTCCTAATAGCAATAAAATTTCGCAGGAACTCCGAGCAATGTCTCTGCTGTTCTCTGTTCGGGCGCCGCAGAAATCCGACATCAGCCCACTACTACAGCCGAGTCTTGATGCACTTCTGTCAGTCTGTCGCAGGTATCAAAACAAAAAACAAGAAAATGCAAAGGCCACGCGCGCTGCGAGCGAGACTGAGCAACAGCAGAAAAACGAAGAGTCCGAGGACAAGAAGACAGGTGGAGAGGTGGAGCCGGTGAAAAAGCGAAGGAGAACGTTAGAAGGCGAAGAACAAACAAGTTCTAAAGGAGCATCCGCATCGTCTGATGTGCCAGGACCTAGCAAGGATGATGACAGCGCTGCTGCTCGGAAAAGGGAGAAAGTCCAGAGTAGCTCCCAAAAACAATCCCCAAAAAGTGGGTCAATTTGGGGCTCAAGGCCGCCAACTGATTGTGTGGACTCGCTAGTTAAAGCTATTCAAAGTGCCATCACCAAAATCCCTGTATAGGTAACAAACATGAGAGGAACAGTCTGGCATTCATTGAAGCACCGTTATAAAAGACACTTTGGCCTTAGGAGTCTGTTTGCTGCCAGATGACTCCTAAGCTACGGGAATCTCTGAGTGTTTTTATGGACTGCTTTTGCAGCGTTTTACTTTCCAGTGCACAGCGGGAAAAGCCAAGAAGTTTTCGAGTTTTTTTTGTTTCCCAGAACTTGTGTATTTGGAAAAATAAATGGAAATGAACTGTATCCCAGAAACGTTGGTAACCGGTTGGACAACAGTCTCCCTAAAACGATATGATTTGAGTCGTGGTGTTGACGTTTTTATACCCGTGAAAAAAGCTTTCTTTGTACTTTGTTTCATTCCCTTCCACTCGACTAGAATTTACATCATGCAGTGAAAGGAGGATTTTGGAGGGTTAAAGCAACTATGCACCTTTTCACCTTTCATGGCTTCCTGCCGGTGACAATGCAAGCCCCGGTAACTAAACATACAAGACTAAACAGAGAAGGCAGACAAGCCGGGTGGGAGTGGTTTCCTTTACCCGGTTTATGCTTTCTCTGACATGTACAATCAGAACTCCAGTCTCAAAATGGGCCCTTCATTCTGGGTCTTTCAGTCTTCAAGATTCTTAAGTCTTTTCTTTCAACTTAAAGCCTGTCCATCAAGTACGGGTTTCTAATTTCGGCTTTTTTAAAAAAATGGGAGTATTGTAGGGAGGTGTGTTTTATGGAAGTTGCATTGTATGTTCACAGTTTTGCAAATCTACAAGAGAAAAGCGCTTTCACCGCCTTTTCTGACATTGCGAAAAATAAACGGTTTTAGATAATACTTACCTTGAAAATAGATGATACAACTGTGCGTAGAGGCCACCGTCAAATCAGAAATGGGTATCACATATAACCATGAAGATGTGCATGTTATAATTATAAATGCCCACCGTAACGCGCAACCTGAGAATTAGAAATAGGTGATGTAATGTCACGTGGGTAACACATTCCCCCTTGAACTCAGGCGATATAACTGCAAATTTCCCGTTTCGTCTTGGTAAATATTTTATTCTTGAGAAAAAAAACAATATTGATCCTGTTATTTATCACTGAGAAAAAAGATCTTACATTAACTTCCTCGTTGAAAGCTCTTTCAGTGCATTTAAAATTATGTAGCAGTAGTGTGGATTTGTTTGGAAAAGAAACAGAGATCATAAATTTAGATGGTGTAGAAGTAAATTTTGATGGAAATTGTTCATTAATGTTGCCGTTGGTGCATTCTGCAGATAAAAACGTAATACCGTGGAAGCTCTCGTAACTGACACTCTGGTAAGCAAACAGCTCCACTTACGGCCACCTTTACAAAACTCCGTTTTTCTCAACTCCTATACAAACCCTGTATTTTTACATTCTCGTAAGCGGCCAGCTCCACTTACGGCCCCTTTAAAAACTCCGTCAAGTTGTTTTACATGCTCAACTTTCAATACAAACCCTGTATTTTTTAACTATCAGTTAATGAAACAGGTAGTTTGCTAGCCAGAACCAGGTCCAGGTTATTGAACACCTTTTCCGAAAATCCCAAAAACGTTCCGGGCTTTCGAGGGCTTACCCCAGGTCCATTGCAAGAAACTATTGCAACGACGATTTTTAAGGCAATTGTTGTAACAATTCGAAACAATGTCGCCAAAAAAAAAAAGTTGCAAAGCTGTGATGCGTTGAAAATAATCGCTGTGAATTGTCCCCACGTAACACTGGACAGTGCTGACAATAATAAAGAACAGCGATTATTGGGCGACGGTGAGCAAAATATCGTCATTTGGCAGTGGCGTCAATTGCTTATAGTCCATTTCTACGTGACTCCGTTTTACTACTAATGGCCTGTTTACAAGGAGGTGGGGGGGGGGTGGGGGGGGGGCAGGTAGGTGAGGTGACCTGCTTAGTTGGGGTAACCCGTCTGTCCATATAATCTCTCATTTTATTTTGGTCAAGTTTACATGATAGGTGGTATGACCACATGAGAAATTATGTGGACGATTGGGTTACCCCACCGAAGCGGGTTACCTCACCTGCCTGGGGTCCCCCACCTCCATGTCGATCTTTATCCCAGTTGAACTAAACTAAAAAGAGGGGAAAATGGCGGGTTTCGGTAAACTATGTTATAAACTTTGTGCTTATAACTCGGCTCATTTGAACTTCGGCGTCTGAATCAACGCCCTTCCGCAGCCGTTATTCCCGGCTGAGCCAGGCGTTATGAACGTCTGGACCGATGCAATTTCAATTAGCTGTTTCGAATTGATTCAGATTCCGCTCTGCACGTGAACATAATTCACTGAATTTGATTCGGCTCGTGTGAAGTGCGGAGTCTGAAAGGCGAACCGGTCCTAAGGGCCTGTTTACATGGAGGTGGGGGACCCCAGATAGGTGAAGTGACATGCGGCGGGTCACCCCACCTATCATGTAAACGTGATCAAATTAAAATGAGAGATTATGTGGACAGGCGGGTTACCCACCAAGGAGGGTTACCTGACTTACCTGGGGTCCCCCACCTCCATGTAAACAGGTCCTAAGCTGCTTAATAAGAAATTGCGATGTTTCGCTGATCGGAGTTCAATATTAATTTTATTCTATCATTCAATCATTGTGTTCGAATTGTTTGTTTGTTTGTTTTAATATTTTATTTAGGGCCACTGTACAGGCCATTCGAAAAGTTACTATCTCGCTGATAAATAACTGTTAACAAATTTCCCAAAAAGAAAAACAAGAATTGTACCTATAAATACCTTGTAAAATGAAACACCTACCTAAATAAAAAATACCTGCTAAGCACATAAAGAAACCAAATCAAGAAGAGTTTTTATTAAGGAACAATAATTATAATTACAACTTTTTTATATAGTTTACCGCAAGCACAGGGGGCAAACTGCGCATTAATAGAGCATTGTCCCCAGTTTTCAGCAAAACAGAAGCAAATCAAGTTTAATCTCCATGGCACATAAGCAACCGATTATCGGAAGGAAGGTATATACAGTGGCCTTAAGACCTCTGGTCCAATCAAGTCAATCAAAACTCTGTAAAAACCTTATTATTAAAAAAATGAAAAGGCATTTTTAACTTACGCTAATTCCAATAGCGTGCGTGGAGTTAGCGAAAACAGCTCCGAGCAGTTTTCGTAAGATGCTAATGGCTGCGTCCACTCAACTCATTAGTGTTGGTGTAGCATTGCTAATGAGTCGGACTATATGCACTGGGCGACGCACCCAGCTAAATTTATACCGTTCCTTTGTTCCTTTAACAAAGCTGCGACTTAAAAAAAACAAAAAACTATTTTTACCCCATGTAAGGAAATCTAAGATAGCCTTAGATTCTAGATCCCGCACTGTGGATTGTAAATTCACGATGTGAATTCCGGATTTCAGGCACTGGAGTCAGGATTTCTAATCACTGGAACTTGGGATTCTTGATTCTAATCCTTAGCTGGATTCCAAAGCCTAGGATTCTGAATTCCAAAAGCAAAAATATGCGGTATTCATTACCTTACACACGGCGATATTTCCTTTTCAAACTATGAAATACAGCTTTCGTCCCCGATAACCTAACGTACGAAGTGACTGCAAGTCCTAGTATGGTCTTCTAGTAAAGTCATAGTAGCCCTTGTTCGATATATTAAAATTCTAACATGACTCCGAGGCTTGTAGGTCAAAATTGCAAATTTTTGAAGACTCTATTCTCTGGCAATTCCAAAAAGAGACTTGTGTTATTGAGTACAAAGAAAACCAAACCAAATCTAGAAAAATGACCAGAAAGCCTCGGAGTGATCGAACGTGGGCTTTTATAAGGGTTTTGATAATAAACGAAGCGATCAACATTGTGATAAGGTCTTAATGTTCATCTTGTGAAAGTTCATTCAAGGCTACGCGTTTTCTTCCGAAGGCTCCTGCGAGGGTTACTCCGTGTCCCATTTGTTTTCTACCCAAAGAAAAGAACAAAATAACGAATAAATAAGTGAGGGCAGAACAATGTTGCCAGTAGGCGGGCGCGGCAGAGGGAAATTTTGTTTTGGACTTAGAAGTTGCAGGGGGGGATCCAGGATTATTCTTAGGAGGGGGTGCACCACTAACTGACTGATGACGTAAACAAATTTTAAAAGCGAATACGAAGAAGAAGGCTTTTGACGAGGCAATAACATAATGTGAACTGCTGAAAATACACATCAAACGATACAGCAGATTTTTTGTTAGCTGTGAGGCGACTTTACAGTGTTAATTGGAAAGGTCATCTCAGGGGGGTGGGGGGGATGCGCACCCCCTGCACCCTCCCCCTAGATCCGCCCCTGAACCAGTTGGGGGATGGAGAAGGGGAGGTTTCCAAGTTTTTTTTTTCCAAAACAACATTAGGGAGGAACTTTTTCTCTTCAGCAGATTTTTATTCTATCTTCCTAGACATTTGGCAGAATTTGGTGCCAGATGGTTGCTATGGTTACTGAGATATGACGTCTTACTAAAACGCGGTCAAGACATTTTACGTTTTTTTGTTTGTTTGTTTATTCTCCCTTTTGAGCAGAAAAAACCTATAAACTATCCCCGAAAGTAGCAAAGTATATAGCTATAAAATAAACTAAACCTCAGGCATAAAAAATGCTTAATCATCCAATATTATTTTAGTCGGAATTGTCTCTAAAGTCCAAGATGGCGTCCATTTCATAAACTTTATAATCTGTTTTCTTTACATGGTGAAGGGAAGTCTGCGTAGAGACCCCATAATGAATAGTGTTAAGTAGTATCCTGCTGTTTTGTTCTAGTAAAATGCTCTGAGTGGCTGTTATTGAGAATTGCCAGGAATAATTTATGCGAAATTGGCTTCAGCGACGTGTTTAGCGAAGCTGTCTTGCAAGCGTCGCTTTTCAGTCTGCAATAAAGTAAACACTGGTCGTCCGCGAGCATGCTACTTACCGATTGCATGGAATTTTGAGAGGCATTTTCTCTCATTTTAGCCGCCAAATGTGGCTGTCAGAAAAATAATAATAATAAAGTTTAGTAGGCAAAACAACACATTTCCACGTGCTTCACACTCTTTAGTACATTTCTTTGCCTTTTTTTGTACGACTACGGCGTAAAATTGCTAAATTATACTTTTTGTGTAAGGCGTAAACAAGCCCACGACTAAACTTTATTTCTCTTTTTGAAACTGGATATTCCTGGATATGGTCCCTAGGAATTCAACTCCAGGAGGGTTCGCCTATATTTGACAAAGTAAGTGAGTAGGAATAATAGTGATAAAGACTGAAAGAGCGCAAATTCACTTTTTTTACCGAGGTTTTTGTTTTCATCGCGTCTTTGGATCTTAATGTCCGTAATATTAGCCACGGCGAACTTAACGCAAAAGTACTAGAAATACGTGAATAAGCAGAGGCTAACTGCCAAAAGTAAGAAGAAACGGCGAAAAAAGGGGAAAGAAAATGTGTGAAAAAAATACAAACCAGCAAACAATACAAAATATTGATAACAACAATAACGCCACCACCACCAACATCAACACTGATAAATTCCAACAAATTATAAACCTCGCATTCGCGACAGCCTTCCTTTCCGAACGACAAAATTTAAAAGAAGTCATAAGAAAAGTTATATCTCAAGTATAGGCCATTTGCACGATGGCGTCATTTTACTGTTACGACCCTAATTCTTGTGGGTTTTCTTTTCATACTTAAATTTGGTAGCCCCAGTGAGGTTTAAATAACAAAAGCCCTAATTTGCAGAAGAAAGCAAAACCCCGAAGGATTCTGGTCATAGTAATAAAATGACGCCATCATGCAAATGCCTATTGTATGGTTCGGTATGCTGTAGAGCGCGTGTACTCGCGAGGCCGGCATCTATGCTAATTTATTGTAACAAAAAAGTGGATCACCAACATAGCCGCCGTGATTTCAAGTGAAAACGCTCCATGCGATTCAAAGATATTGCCAACCTACCCCTCCCCTTACTCAAACTTTAAATTCTCACTTTGGACTAATTGTTGTGTTAAGAGAGGGGTGGGTGGGCTGAACTTATACGATTCAGGGACACTGCCCCTGACACTACCCCTCCCCTAACCTAATGTTAACACTAAGTTCTCTCGTAGGGCAAAATGTTGGTTTAACTGAGAGGTACAAAGTGGGGAGGGGCAGTAGGAAGTTTTCCAATACCCTATACTCCGTATTATTTGTTCTTTACTAGAGAATTGTATGTGGCCATAAATCACTTATTAGCGGACTCTGTTCCCATTTATGTTTTCTACATGATAATATATGACTGCGTCGTGCACATGCCCCTGATATATAAAATGGTAGGGATTTCAAATTTCACCAGTTGAAGTTTATGAAGGGAAGGCAAATATGTCTTTTCGGTATGTAAAGGGAACGAAAAGGGCCAACGGACGCATTTTGTGGCTGCGAAAATGTCAAGAAAACTTTCTGGATTAGTGATTTATTCGTATTTACGAGGCAGTACATTTGCAGAAGTCTAAATCAATGCGAAAGGGTGCCTTTCCTGTGAAAATTATATCTAAAAGGGTAAGCCGTTAGACCTGGTACTTACTTACCAATAACATTGCAAGCCATTCATGTCCCCTTGCCTTCTGCTTTGTAGGTTTTTTTGTAGGTTTTTTTGTCGGCGTTCGTCTTCTCGTAAGACCTGGTCGCTCATATCCCCGAGCTAGGTCTAAAAGATCACAGCAAACAATCAACCACAAAAAAGTGATCGTCAAGAGTCGTTTGGAATCCATCGACTATATCGTTCTTCCGGTTTACCAGGTGTTCTGTTGAGAAGATGAACTTGAATCTCAGCTGAAAAAGAAAATTGTTGGCTTTTTCAGCTTTTCACTCATATTAGTTGTTATCTTTAG